GACAGGGGACCACAATAATCTGTAATAAACAGGAAAAGCAGAGAAATAGAAGGATGCGGGTGGGTAAGAGGAGGAAGCCTAGTCCCGGATAATAGTGGGAGATGGTCTGTACTGATATCACATAGAGAGAGGCGAGGTTATTTCTGGATAATCGATTTCTATTTTTTTTTCTCACTAAATACATTAAAAGCTTCAACATCCTCACTTTTAACTCGGAATTTACTCAACCAATAACATCAGACACAGATCTCGAAGTTAGTATTTTTTTACTCAGCATTATACTATAAGTCGTCACTGCCTTAAATATCTATGTTAAAGTTAAATAGACGGTTTAAAGTTTATTTGCACTGTTTTATAATTTTTTCACCAAATATTAAAAAAATCACAAATTCTCTGCCTTAACACCGAAAAAAATCAAATTAAGTTCCAATTTCGTTACGCTTTTGATTTTTTCTTAATTGTTCATACGTTCGGTAACGCATATAAAGATGAGTCTACCAGATATTAAAAATTTAATTAAAATAATATAAAAAAGTCAAAATGATAAAAGCTATTCACAAATAAACATTAATAAAATGTTGACACTAACTCTTAATTGTATATAATTTAAATCAAACCGAAAAAGATTCATATTAATTTATTGTGTCAGTAAATTTTATTTGGGTTATTAAGTTAATGTGATTGACATACATTTACAATAATGAGAGAAAATAAAATAAAATAAAAAGCGATCATATTAAAAAAAAGATAAAACAAATTATATAAAAGTAAAGTAAAAAATACAGTAAACAGAAGCTAAAACAGAGAGAGACTTATCTGAAGATCTCGTTGACGGTTTTGGAGTGTGAGGAAGGACTAATATAGAAGGGTAGGAGGAGGGGGGGGGTGACGGCGTGAGGGGCTAGGGGTTTCGGGTGTAAGGTAGTAGGGTGTGGAAGTGTTAATGGTATAGGCTGTGTAGAGTGGTGGTGATCTATGGTTGTACAGTATATGGACAGACTCGTGGAGGGTTGGGTGCCATATTTGTTTCCAAGAGTACCGAGGTATTCTTAGTACACACACACGCCATCTTGTGTTTATATTGAGAAGTTATATACAGAGGTGAAATTTATTATTATTATTATTATTATTATTATTATTATTATTAGTAGTAGTAGTAGTAGTAGTAGTTGTTGTTGTTGTTGTTGTTGTTGTAGTATTACGTTCCCGCCTTTTCCTCTTCCCTAATTATTTTTCCTCACCTCTGTGGCTCTGCTCTCCCTCTCTTCCATGATGATTCAACCTGGTGACAGAGAGATGTGAGAAGACAGGGGGTGAGAGAGATGAGGGGGAGAGTAAGGGTGAAAGGGAAGGGGAGAAACAGTGGCAGAATGGATGAAGAGGAGATATTATACTGTATATACTAAGAGCGAGTGAGAGGGGGCACCAACCTTACCATGTATATATAATGTTATAAACACAACACGACCACCTACGATAATTTCTCCTGCACCGAATATCATTTGTTTTCCTGAGACGATAAAAGGTAACGAAAACATACCAATAGGCACGTTGCTAAGTACGCCGTTTGTTACCAAGTACGCCGCTCGTTGCTAAGTACTCCGTTTGTTACTTAAGTACGCCGCTCGTTGCTAAGTACTCCGTTTGTTACTTAAGTACGCCGCTCGTTGCTAAGTACTCCGTTTGTTACTTAAGTACGCCGCTCGTTGCTAAGTACTCCGTTTGTTGCTGAATTCGCCAATCGTTTGTTTGTGATGTGGGATCGAGCTATGACGCTTATGTTCTAAAACTATCGTCAAAAAAACTAATCTGAAAATTAATTCTTTATAAGTGATCAAGTGTATAATGTTTATATTCACCAACAAAAATAATAAGATTGAGTATTGTTATTTCAAGCGGACAATTTAGTGAGAGTTGTTGATATGGTATTCAGTATATACAGTTTATCAATAAACTCCGTAAGTCAATTCAGTGACAAGAGAAGCATGAGATTTAAGTGAAACATAAAATTTACAAGTTTTACTCCAAAAAGAAATACAACTGATAATAAAGTAGCTTACCATATTAGACAGCAATTTTACAAGAATAATGGTAATTTCATGAGTGGAATGATCAAGCACTACAAATCTACGGGTATGTTAATTGCTTTATATCTACCACATATCCATTATAAAGATTAGCTTTCACAAAACATGAACAATGACTGTTTTGATCCTGCGGAGAGAGGAACACATTTACCACACACACACACGAGAAACCACCACTAACACGTCACAAATGAGGCAACAACGAACACTTAAATTTTCATGTATATAATCTGAAATCCAAAGAACGAATGAAAATTATGTAAATTTTGCCTAAAAAAAAAGCAACCTTTAATCCCTACACAGCGCCTCCATTGTGGTCTTCTACGGCTTGTAATTAATAATAAGATATTATCATTTAATATAGGCTTAAGGTAAAGAGATGAAAGAAAGCTGGTTTGTGTAGGCCTATGTGCTCAACAAGGGCTGCCAACCCTTCCCGTGCTGACAAGTAAATTGTCCTGCGAAATTGATGGCCACCATGACAAGGGCCGACGAGGGTGTGTGTCCACCTGTCTTCCTGGTTTTGTCTTTTTTAATAATTCATGGCCATGAGCATAAATCCTCGTTGGATACACTGTAAATCAAATAATGGAGGAAAGAAAGGGTACAGGCATGAGATAATGAATTAAAAGGCATGTGAGGAACTGGGAACACAAATACGGTACACGGATATTCTCATCAAAATAGCTTGTGCATTCATATATATTTTTTTTGGCATACTGCACACTACTTGTACAGTACACTATAATTATTCTATACTAATCGCTACCGTCCACAGGAAGGACAATGTGCAAAGTAAACTATCCGCTCTGGGTCAAAACTAAAACGCGGCCACCCTTTGTTGGGAGGTGTGGCCCACCTTCGGGAATCTTAACTAAACAATAACCTTGACTCTTAAAACCCCATTTTATTCTTTCTAAATGACCCGCCTGTGTGTGTGTGTTAAACCTTCAGATACGTGCCTTGTTTAGAATTATCAAAACAAACTGACCATCCTTTATTATGAGGCTCTTAATTTGTAAGGGCCAAAGGTACTCAAGAGGGAATATGGATTTACATCTAGTGTTGAGATGCACCAGGCCACGGTGTATGCCATCCTGGTTGTTTAAGTCAAATTATTTATAAAAATGGAATCACAAAAGAGAACAGAATCAGGATAACAGTGTAGGAACTGATCATTTGGGGGGAAGCCTTCGATCATCTATACAGCCCCTCCACTACAGCTTTAATACAGCTACGTTTTGAAAAATTTCAATGTTAAAAAGGGCACTGTTTTTACTGAACTGTTTATGTGTGTAATCTTATTTTCCCTTTTCACATCTTAATTAACTCTCGCATCGTAGCTTAATAATGTACTTGCCATAATTTGTCAACAAACTGAATCCCGGTCGCTGTGTAAAAGCTTAGGTAATACTTTGCCATTCTAGTGCACCTAAACTGTCTATTTTCCAGAAGAACAGTTATTACTCACCTCGATAATAGACGGCAGCCAACCCAGGGTTTACATTTTCCGTGCCTAGATTTTCCTGTGGCTGTCTTATTAACAAAATTCAGAAGTTCACTGCCACCACGCGCTGTGTGTTGTTGTTCATTAGGCTCAGAAGTGATAGCAATCGGTGCTACTATAGCGTGTGGTCTACAAACTTATCTTTAGTCTAACCTAACCTAATCTAAGCTAACTTGACCAAAATATCTTGTAGACCACACGCTATAGTAGCACCCAAGATTGATTGTGCCATCTACTAGACTAGGCTGTGACTGAAGTGCATATCACAGATGACATGAACCAACCAAACCGCCAAAGCTAACTTCTTTGAAGTAAGAGTTGTAAACTGTTGCTATAGCCTGCCATTGGCTGTTGTTAGAAAGACTATATGGTTCAAGCTTGACCAACATTGGAATATGTTCAGGTACATTCAAGAACCTATGCATGCCCAGTACTTGCCAACAATGTGTAAAAGAGAACTTACCGCCCAGTGTACTGGCGCGGTAAGTTATTCACAAACTGCAGTCGAAGTAGACTTGTCTGAGTTTTACCAAATTAGATATTCATGTATTTACAGTATCACTTAACGCTTAACTGAGTAAACTGGTAACTTCCTGTAATAAGTTGCTGGGCGGTTCCAAAATGACCGAGCAATACATAAATTCCAAAAACACTGAGGCGCCCACACTCTGTCGTTCAAAAATACCATTCGTTAATGAGCCCCTGTAGGCCTGTACCCCCGGAGCCATACAAAGCTGTGGAGTTGGGCGATGGGCGTCGGCCACGGTGAGGGGAACAGCTTTGTTATTGATATATTTTAGGTTGTTTGTGTATTGTGTCGGTGGAAATGGGCGGTTATAATTTTAATGAAAGTCTCCATTATAAAGAAATTTTTACTGCGAATGTTCCATGGCGATTTGATTGTTATTGGGGTATTATTATTATTATTATTATTATTATTATTATTATTATTATAGGTAATAACAATAGTAATAATAATAGTAGTTGTATAATTACTGTACGATTATTTCAGTTTTATATCATTGTTATCAATTTCTTTAATTTAGACAAAATGCTCGAACATCTAGTAACTATTTTTAAACCAAAGAATTAACACCGATAATTTCACTAGCGAGCCAGAGGATGAGTCACTGGCGGCCAATGAGAGTGAGTGAGATACAACTTGAGGGTTTCGAAGAACTGCTGAAGGAGAACACAATGTTGATATAGCACCACGAATTCTATATCCTTAAGACAACTGTTTTTTGTAAACCAGAAAACACAAAACAACCATAAATAACCTAAAATATCGTATTAATATTATTTAAAGTACAATTATTTTTCATTTGTTTTACTCTTAAGAATTGATGATTCAGGTAGTATGTTCGTGGTAGCTTACAACATAGTAAATCTTGTGAAAATGACATCTGGGGAAATGTTTACAAGTGAAGAGGAAAAGCTCATTGTGTTGTGGTGATGGAACTTTCTTTTATCTCTACAGGAGAACTTCAAGGTGAGTTTGCCACTTAATGTTCCCCATACGTGTAGAAGACGTCAGTGGGTACATGAGGGCGTGTTAGCGGATAACAAGTTCTGTTTTGTTATTTGGGGTTGACCCAGGTCACCCTCGCCCTTCATATTTGACAATTGTGCTTAGTGTCATTTGATGTGACTCATAGTAATGAACTCGTGGTAGTTAAGTTCAACACACGAGTTTTTTGTTTTCCTGGTGTAAATAATGAAGATGGCATCAATGTATAAATCAATATTTTTTCTTAAGAATTTTCCAGCATTACTATAACTGGGGCTGGACACCATTGAGACATAACTGGAATATATCAATCTTTAATAATGAAGAGTGTAGTAGGTAATGTTGGAAGCTTCTCCGTGTCATTTTCCAAAAATATATCAAATTTATGGAAAAGATCTTGTTCTTACATATAAAGATTTTTTCAAGGAATATTTAACAAAATAGTAATCTTGTATATAAGAAGCGTAAAATCACAGCACCTTTGTTGACATTGAGCGAGACTGCGAACTCTCTAAAGTACCAGATGCTACGTTATATAATTTATCATTCATAAAGTAAACCAAACTGACTTGCATCCAGGAGCCAATAGATACCGAGTACTTTCCAGAGACATGACCGACTGACCAAGCGGCTAATGAGCTGACCAGTGGTGAAGAGGATAAAAGTAAAACAGTAAATCTAACCTAACTAATAATATAATAATATTTTTCAGGACCACACTGGAAATTATAATGACTGTACTAACACTTTATGTATTATCCTCTGGAAATGTTTAGATATGATTGATTAGTCTCACCGAATGTCTACAAAGGCATTAGTGATTTTATGCTCGATAAATATGAGGTTACTAATGTGTATTATGCTGCATTGAGGAACATCCAATAGAAGAGTAAAGAGATAACTAGTTTTGCAATGATAGAAGATGACCACCAGAGCTAGGTTAGGTTAGGTTAAGTACACTGTGTTAGGTTTAGTACATTAGGTTAGGTTAGATTAGGTTAAGTTAGATTAGGTTAGGTTAGGTAGGCCTTACACCAGTATTTTTTTTTCAGGATTGATTTGATTGGTAAAAGTATATGCGGGATAATATTAACTCAATAAAAACTACCATTCAATCAGTTGACAAATTTTACAATATATTAAAACTGACATCCCCAAAGTGAAGGAGTTAAGGGGTCCTATAAGTCGGCAGTATGTCGATAATATGGGTAATATTTAAGGACAAGGATCCTAGTTATTCAGCCACCTAATGGAAAATATTTATAGAAGAAAACTTACTTCTTACCTCAAGACCCAAGTAAATCAGATGGAGCAATAGCACTTATTGTATTCAGGTTTTATTCCATTTTTTCTGAAAATATAGACTCTGTGACAAGCCTGGATCACAATGACTCTATGTTTATGCATCTCTGTTGACAAATGCTGCTCAGTAACCAACATATTGACCAACCCTGAACGCTTGGCAACAGAACGCTTCCCAGCCAACAAATAACTGGCCAATCTTCTTGCCATACAACCTAACCTAACCTAACCTAAAAAAATATTAATTGGCCTTTTTTTAAATATTGTTACTATTCTTAATGTAAGAAAGACTAATTTATCATTATTGTTTATAGAAATATTGTTTAAAGTTTCTATTTCTGCTGCTAGTGTTTTTTAGTGAGTAAGAAATAGAATAGTGATGTTATTGTTACTGTAAGAAATCTTTGTAGGTCTAGTCTTCCTCATGTAAGCAAAGATGGTGCCATTGTCTTCATGCTGCATTTTTATTTATAAGAAAACTAGAGAAAACCTGAATAAGAATAATACTGTACTTTTTCTCCAATTTATTTGCCTTATTCCTGAGGGAAGAAATAAGTTTTTTCTGTAGATATTTTAATATTAGATAGCTGGTAACTCAGGACCCTTGTTCTTAAATACTGTATTACTATAATTTCTCTATAACTTAGTATTTCCACAGTAAAATATAAAACTGAAATTACAATAGTTCAGGTAATGTATCGATTATCCGTACCTCCAAACTCAGGCCATTTTGACCTGACCAAAAAAATATGAATCTGGAACCAATTGTCCTTTTTGTTTAAACCAACTTAGTGTTAGCACCTTGTCAATCACTCTAATATTATCTAGGGAGAGAGTAAGGAAATTAATCTCCTTGTATGGTGTAGTGTATTGTTGGAGTTGATGATGGTGTTTAGGGGTTATCTGTACATCAGTCATCAGTTGGGGGTACCACACACTTGTCTACTAAGAATGTTGCCTTAGTCATGGTAATTGTTAGATACTGTATTGCTTTGGCCACAGACATCTTGGGGAATACTGTATTAAGATAAAAATATTCATTGCATTTTATGTAGCAGCCTTTATTCAGTGACTTGTATTAGTTTTGGAGAGCGTCAATTTTCCCTGATGGTTGAGGATATCTATATACAAGCTTAAATATATGATTTTTTTTATTATATAGGGGAGGGTGAGTTAAGAGTGTTTCATTTTCTTCTGGTGGATGTGATGAAAGGAAGGGTGTCAAGATACATCCAGAGTCCTGATGACACTTCCCCTCAGCTACTGTCTTCAGTGACCAGGATGACACCATAAGAAAATGCTTAAATTCCTTGTGGAAGGTATAGAACAGTACAGTACATACAGATCACTTTCCAGGGCAGCAGTTCCTGAAGGTAGTGGGAGAAAATCCAGAAGAGGACCTACTGGTATGTACAGTTTAGTTTGCCTCTCCTGTGATTGAATTGAAATGGCTGTATAGAAGGTGTAGTTCTTGCTGTATAATGTACCCCAGTAGGTAGGAACTCTGGCTTTTTTAATAAGTACTGTACAAGCTCCTCTTTGAGGCAAAATTCTTGACGCGTGGATAATTCTTTCTCAGAGAGGCTGACCGGTAATTGTTTTAAAGCCCCAGCTTTTACGGGTTAAAGTCCAGTGTTAAATGTACAGTTGTAGGGGACAACACAAAAGAGGTCAGTATAACTTGGTTCCAATGGAGATGCATTCACGACAGCACTACAGTATTTCTTACCTATGAGAGACATGAGGGCCTCATTTGGTATTGGTGTTAGCACTAGTAATGATACTGTACACATGATAAATGTTCTAAAATACCTTATAAATAAGAAGAAGAAATTTTAATAATAGTGAATATAAAAAATACAATAAGTTGTGTACTGTACAGTACGTACTTACCAGTGCATTTAGTCAGAGTTTCCGTGAGCTTGACCACCATCTGTCGTAACCAGACCCAAGCTACAACCAATATGAACTTCTCCTCCGCATGTATTATTTTTACCCTGTTATGTCTAATAAGGTAAGTAATATAAGTTTATATATTCTTCCAGGATTGATGAGCATGGCAAGTCAGGAATGAAGAAAGTTGTTGAAAATGTCTTTAATCCGGATCAGGGGACGCACCATCCTTGCCCCAATTGTAAGTACAGGACTGTCACATTCATGCAGGCAGGCAAATTATATACCAGTACTGTATCATTTACATAGTTAAGCCAGTCCTTCATTTACTAAACTGTGATACAAATTTCTGAGGATTTTTTCTTCTGTGAACTACCTACAATTTTGTTTTTTGTCTTTCATTCCAAATTTCTTTGTTTTAGTTTCGATAAAATATTAATTACAAAGGTTAGGTCAGGATAGCGTACTGAGACTGTGCACATGTGAACTACAGTAGGTTAATTTATTCATCTTTCTGGAGTTAGCATAAGATGACTGACTGGTAAAGAGGATGACTGACTTTGAGTGAAACAGTCAGGTTAAAGAAAACTGAACTTATTACTTTGTCTGAGATAATGTTGTGTAAATATAGTCAAGATAGAAAAGGGATAAAGTGAGATACACAAACATGATGAAGACGGGATGTCTGACCAACGAAGTAGAGAATGAACAAGCCGAGTAAAGGATATACGGTATGTGTCATCCATTCAATGTTGGAAGATATGCAATAGAGGATGGATTTCTCCTTCAGTTCACTTGATACATGATGGTGAGGCAGTAAGAGACAAGTGGACCATCAGGTTGAAGGGAGCAGTACAGCTGATATAAGATGAAGACAGAGAGACAACAGGAGGGTGAGAGCAGTACAGTACCATGTAGTATAATAATGGAGAAATGTAAACACAGTTATATACAATTTTTTTTTATTTACAAGTAAATAAAAAATAATATATTTCGCTGAGGTTGGCAACACCCGCATTGCCAGCCTCTCCCTGCTGTCCCGGCGTCTGCCCGCCCTCACCCCAGCCTGCCAGTCCTCTTCCACCCACATTCCTCTACTTGAAGACTTGTATTCTGACAAAGACACAAATGAATTGTCAGTCTTCACCACATCTCGAGCCATAGCTCATACCACCTCTGAGCTTGTCCAATAAAACATTTTTTTCCGTTAAGGTCATCACTATTCTTGATCTCTTGGTCACTTTAGAGTCTTTGCTAGTAATACTTGCCTTTGATGAGGCTGGCTTACATCCTGGAGCCATGTGGAATGCACGTGGGAGGACAAACAGAAGAGGTAATCACAGTAGCGTTGACAGTATGGTTGGCACGTGTGGACTGAGGCTTCTCAGAGCAGCGGGCGTCTGAGGCAGGAAAGGGTGGCGTCTGTTTGCCGCACCGCACGGGAATATTGAAAATGGCGCGAAATTAACATTTTTGTCTTTAAAGGATATTTTATATACAGCTCCTCCCCGACTTACGACAGGGTTAGGGACCCAAATCCAGGTCGTAAGTCGAAAATGCTTAAATAATACACAGAAAATCTAAAATGGGTGTCTCTTTTTCTTCTTAGCACCACAAAACTCTCACTTTTAAGCTTGCCAGCCATTTTAAAGTGAATTACAAATGAAAATTTTGTCTGTGTACTGACGTTGGGACTCGAAAATGCGTAATTTGACAAAATTTTGGTATGACTGATGCAGGTCGTAAGTGCGGGTGGTCATAAGTCGAGTAGGTTGTAAGTCGGGGAGGAGCTGTGTACAGTATAGTCTGGTTTTACGTGGATATTTTTTACACAGAGGGCCATTTACGCGGCACCTGTCAGAAGAGATAATTATTATTTACACGGTAAATTCCATCATGTACGTGGCAAGGTTTCTGGGCACTGACGTCAGACTCGCACCGGTGACGTCGCAGACTGTGATTGGGTCACGTATCCTTACCACCCATGCACCCCCTCCGCCGCGCACTGTGATTGGTCTAGGTATCCTTGCCACCCCAGCCACCCACGCTCTCTGCCGCCGCGTCAGTCTCACTGTCTCCGCTTATGTTCACTCGTGTCCAGGAACCAGTGTGTGCATATCATCATAAAATTAAGATGTTATTTTTACTACAATGTACAGTATTGTGTCGGCGATAGCCAAAAAAAGGTGAGTCTGGCGGTTGGCCCAGTCTCTATTTCAATTACTGTAATCCCATAGGTTCTGTTATTTTATTTACGCGTTTCGCTTTATACACGGACCTCCATGGGTTTAATTAACCGCGTAAAACCAGACTTTACTGTACAGTATATAATTTTTGAGTAAAAAAACGTGAATGGTTAAAACCGCGATAAAAAACACGCAAAAAACATGGGATTACTGTACTTATTCTCAGAGCACATTTCTTGGGGTTTGTTATGTTAATTTGAACATTGATGTTAACTTGGGCTCTGAGTGTATGGATCACTGTATTAGGGTACAGTTCTATATATGATAAGTATTTCCATTACAATACTAATCATTGGCAATTTCAATAAAAAGCAGGTGTTTAACGAGAGATACATAAGAAACAACTGAAGTACGAGTTTATCTTTAACACTTACGCTACATAGGCGCTACTTTTTATATTTTATTTGGCTAACGCCAGACAATTTTATTCAGAGAGGCAACCCATACACAAGTGTTTAAGGAGACTGTGAACACCTAAAGATATACAATCACACTAAAGTAATAAGAGATGGTCATACAGTACAGTACATTATAAGGAAAGTTAATCATTGTAATACAGTAATTGTTGCTCCACCGAGACATCCGTGTCATTACTTTCTCTCTATATGATGAATGATGATCAATAATTTTGCTACCAACAGATACTGTATTTATTAGTATGGTAAATTTCATTACATTACTTGGTGATATATTTCCTCCCGTGTAGGTGGTGTGCACAATATAAGCATTACTGAATTATGAAAACACATTGGTGGGCATTGTTGTGCCACCACTTGATAATTGTAGTTCCATTACATCTAACAATATTATAAATACTGTATTATTACTGTATATCATCTTAATACGGTCCAGTACTTTGTTGTGAAATGAAATTGGAAAAGTAATGCTTTTTATCAATGTAGGGAGTTATCCAGGAATTTCCTCTTTCCTCACCACTGTGCAGCTCAGTGGAAACATTAGGGTAATTTTCAGATTCACAAGTTTGTCATATTACAATAAGTGGCTTTTTATTCTGTCTTGAAGTCTGCTGAAGTTAGGGCATGAAAATCAGTCTTTGTATTGTTTGAAATGCTTTTTTTTCTGTTTCATGAATATACATATCAGTATGACGAGGATTGTCACTTCTTAGACGTCTTTACTCTTCGGTTTTTTGGACTGTTTCTATGCTTGGTATGTCTTAGAATGTCACCTGTTATGAGGCTTTAGTATTGGGCATCTCATGTTATATGTTGGAACTCAAGATACCAAATAATTTGCTTCGATCTTTGTTAGTATTTAATTTTATATTGTCATATATCCGATAAGGTAAAGTCACTTAATGTACTGTACCAAGATTCACTGATATTCAATTAATAATTTATAGACTTTTTGCATGACTTTGATTATTTAATCATTTATGGTACTTGAACAGGCAATAATAGTTTAAAATAGATTTATTGATTTACTAAGCTGTTATCACTAAAAAAAGACCTAATGTTAATTGAGAACCAAATCAGTTTTTCAGAATACTGTACTGTATAATATGTTACACTTTAAAAATACAGTCTACAGTGTTTTGTGTTAGTACAGTACAGTGTTTTGAATCTATGTCATTGTTTAAAATTTTATTACTTCCCGGAAGGTTTGAAGCAAGCCTGACATGGAAAAATATATCATAGTACAGAAGAAACTTGGAGCAGGATAAAGGAGAAAGTGTTAATATTTGTAGACAGAACCATTAACTATGGACAGGCAGGAGGAAGGCTGGGACTCATCAGTTCAACATAAACAGAATTTTAAGACAGATGTGGAGTAAGAGGAATGCAGTGTCTCAAAAGAATGTTCACGTATACAGTGAACCCTCATTTTACGCGGTTAATTCAACCCACGGCGGCCCACGTAAAGTGAACAACATAACTTATGGGATAAATTGAAATAGAGACCGGGCCGACCCCCAAACTCCACTTTTTCAGACACAATACCTACGTTGTAGTAAAAATAACTTCTTAATTTTATGATGGTATGCACACACAATTAATAATTAAGAGAAATATCAATAATATTAGGTTTTTTAACACTTACATTAGTAGAAAAGATGGCTGGGCACACGGGGATGGGGGTTTGGTTCTGAGGCAGAGGGCAGATTATTGGCCCTCACCTGTATCACTTGTATCAATTGTATCACTATCATCCACAGAGGCTTGCAGGGCCTCTTTGTCAAACCCATCAAACTCCATATAAGTCCATATCCTCACTATAATTATCACTATCACTGACTTGGGCCGGCTGTGGTGGGTGGCGGGTGAAGAACTCGGTAATGTTTTGATGACTGGGCGACCTTGTGCGCACCCTGCTCGCGCCGCTCTCCGCGTAAAAGGGTACACACACTGCGGAAAGTGAGCATTCCGGTTTCGGCAGGGTACCGCGTAAACGTGGAAACGCGTAAAGTGAGGGTTGACTGTATACACTTCATAGGTTTTCAGGGTAATCACATGAATGTTTGTACCTGTATTACAACAACAATATTGTCCTTACTTGTTGAAGTAATGTAAACTTTCACATGACCACCATGAAAATCAGTAAGTGTGTATATATATTCTTTTGAAATGTCCTGTATATCTTCAGTCGACTAAGAGAGAAATTAAGGTGTGACAAAACATTACAGCTGAGCGAGGAAGAACGTGTTGAGGTTCGAGCACTGCGTGAGCGGGCAATACAGTTCCAGCATGAGCGGCAACGACTCCACCAGAATCTCTCACAGTGCCGTGTGTGCCACCACCAACTGGATAACCAACAAAGAACTTGGGTGAGTCTGTTGAAGTTGTTGTCTTGATAAAGTAAAGAAAAACTAGAAGGCTGTACTCTATGGGTTTGAAAAAAAATATTTCATCTTTATACAGAATATGGCTGAGTAGCAATTGATTGGCAGAGAGGACACAAGTCATTACAGATGAATTGTTTTAAAATTAGTGTGTGGATTGAGATGATTGAACAGAATAAGGAAGGATAATATGAAAAGATGGAATTAAAAAACAAAGGGGTTGGTTTGAAATATAAGTGATTGAATTCTTTTGGGTAATATGGAGGAGGTGAATGAAAGCCATGAATATAATGGAACTCTACGTGAATTGAAAGAAAAAATGAGAAAGTGAATGAGGTGTAGGGATTAGGCGAGAGAGTTTGTCAGTTAGAATAGTATTAGTATTGAGGATTGTGTGGTTGTGGTGTGTCAGTTTGTGTACAGCTGATGGTGTGTGCCAGTAGTGGTTGTAATACAGCATGCCCTTAAAATTCGCGGGGGTTAAGTTCTCAAAATGGCCGCAAATAGCCAAATCCGCTAATAATATTTACTGACCAAGGGGGAGGGGGGTACATTATTACTTGTGTGCAAAGAAATGTATATTCCCTGTCTGTGTTTGCCCTTAGGACAATTATTTCTTCTACCTGTAATGTATATATGTGTGTGCGTAGACACACACACTACAAATAAATAATAATGTGATAATCCTCTCATAAATAATCAGAAACAAGACAACAAAATGTATTAAAAATGTTAGGGTCTACCCTTAAATCAACTCCAGGCTTTGATATTAAAGTTATAACAAAGCATGGAGTTGACTGGAGGGTAGACTCACATTTTTAATAGATTTTTGTTGTCTTGTTTCTGATTACTGTACTTATGAGAGGATTATTTATTTGTATGTGCTTTGTGTGTGTGTGTGTGTGTGTGTGTGTGTGTGTGTGTGTGTGTGTAGACACACACACACACACACACACACACATACACATACACATGTACAATACAGATAAAGTAAATTATTGTCTCTAGAACGAATGGCTCCCTGTCCCGGCCGCAAAAATGCCAGCAACTTTAAAACTACCCTTAGACATTCTTGAGTACATCCAGGGTGTCATCTGGGAATAATCGAGGTCCGAGAATTTTAAGGGCATGCTGTACTGAACATGGGGGGGTTCCAATGATGGATGGTCTCTGTGGTTCCCAGACCTTTACCCCCATTCTCCCATAAGTTAATGGGTTTGGAGTTGTACATTATAATATTACAACTTTACATAAAATGAATATTAACTCTATCAGTTGTCTTGTACAGAACTGTCATGGATGCAACAACATCAATGAGCGTCACAGCAGCAGCAGCAGCAGTAAGAAAACATCAGATGTGTGCAGGACCCACAGCGGTACTCCAGTATTACCATCAGTGACTCATTGTAGACAACGTGAAGGCCAAGAGACCTCCTCCTCATCTGGCCCAAGTAGTGGTGGAGAGCCTATGTCAGAGGGACCAGAAGATTCTCCAAGTGCAGCTAATGTGTCTGTTCAAACGGAATCGTCAGTGTCATTTACGGCTAGCACAGATTTACGTTCCTACCTCAACACCTCCCTTGATAATTCCCTCGACACATCCATTAGTGCCTGTAATGATACCTGGCACCATTCATCCTCACTGGTCAGTAATATGTCTGGAATGTCCTTCCTCATTCCTGTTCATGCTAACAGTTCTGCCTAGAAAGTTTCCTACACTCTTACATTATAAGATACTGTATGTAGGAAGCCTTATTCTTGTTTTATTAACTTAAGTATTAAGGTTTGATCCTATTTCTTAATAAAGGTGGCAAGATATTCTTAGCCCCAAATAATTCCTGAACTGTGGAAGTAGCCAAATCGTGTTAACAAATGATTTGTTTTAAGATTTTATCCATTTTATGAGTACAGTAGTGATGATAATGGTTGCCCCTCGTGTAACGAGGATGACTGGCCCAAGGGCCACCTAGGCGTGAATTTGTTTAAGGTGTAGAAGCTGTCGCCAACACAACAACCACACCCTGAGTTAACGGGTTGTATGACCCAGTGTCAAGGAATAGTCCGTGAAGACCGGACAACTCGCCAACTGCACTGGCTAACATTACCCTGGAACACGATCCGCAAATCGATTAACATCCAGGTCCCCAATTACTGCTGGGTAGACAGAGGCAAATGGCGTAAAGAAACTTGCCCATAGTTTCACCCTGTACAGTAGTACAGGGTGAACAATAACAGTGGTGTTGTAGCTGAGTGGAGACAGCATTCACCTGCTAATTTGATAATACAGTTACATAATTGGTTCATGCCCAGGGCACCCCTGGTTCATCCAGTTAAGAGTGAGTCCCTAAATCTACTCTTTGAGAAGTGAAAGCTAATCAAGCACAGTGCTAGTCACACTGTCGCCTTGTGTACCAAAGGCTTGGTATAATACAATGTGCTGTATTTGTACTGTCCCTAAGAGGTCATCAGGTCTATGAGATCCGTCTTCACTTACAATAAAAGTGGAAAATTGGGCTTGTAAATGGGGTTTATTGTAGGTACTGTACTGTATTAATATCCAGTAGGAGGAAGAGAGTAACAACTCGGAAAGACTGCTTTAATAGTCTGACTATATTAAACATGATTGACATTTGTACGAAATGACTTTTGTTTTAATTTAAAACAATCTTTTATTAGAATTCTAAATGGGATTCAAGATTTTCATTAGAATCATTTTACTCCCTGTAGCATTCTGTTTATGCAGAAAGTTTCTTGGTGAATGAGCTTTGTCAATCAATAAATTACAATACCTGTACAGTAGTACTTGCCAATCTATAAATATTAAATTAAAGCCAGAATTAGGTGATTGACATTATGATACATGAATTTTGTAAGCCATGGCAACTGGAGGTAATCCAAAGATCACTTACTTCCCTATGACAGCTGTCACTTTGGTGAGAGGTAAGAGCTCTCAGTTTGCCCTAAGACATAGCAGTGTGATGCCACCCCTATAAGCTTTAGTCATGTGTATTCATAGGTTGCTTCTGGCTGGCTCCTTTATGAAGTAGGTGTTTATGATCAAACTTTCATTTATACGTATATATAGTGGGAATTTTGTAAATTTGGGTAACGTAGGTCCAGAGGGTGCTCAGTAAGGTGTGTCCAGGGATATTTATTTTTTACTTTACCAAATTCTTCCATTTCTTATTGAAGAAGTTACAAGACCACTCACTGGAAACAAGTGTGACAAAATTAGTTTCATAATATGTAGTGTAGGTCAGAAGTGTTTTTGTTATTTTTTGCCTTAAGTTTTCTTGATACTGAGTTACTGTCCATGATTTAAACTGGTTATAATACCCAATAGGGTTGTGTTGAGAAATTTTATTTTATAAGAATTACTTTCAGACCGATGTCGATGAAGCTCTTCTGTTGAGTGCCTCTCCGGAGGTAGCCACCAACCTCATCCTCGGACGCCTCCACCCATCTGCCGTCCTGCATCCTTCCACCAAGATACGGCCTTCTCAGGCCGACTCTCAACACACAGAGACGGCCAGCACCACTCTGGTACAAGGTCGGCAGTCACTGGAGCGGCTTGCAGCTTCAGAGAACCACGATACCACCACCACAGCCTCCTTGAGTCTCAGTTTTGCATCAGTCTCAGAGGAAGGCGGTGAAGGATCTGGAGATGGACTCGAAGTATCTGAAGAAATTTTAGAAGTGTCAGAGGAGGCGATAGATGGTTCAGAAGAAGACCGGGCAGGAAGTTTGCCTAGTGAGGTAGAGTCTGACTCACACAAAGAAGAGGATAACCACAGACAAACTTCCCTGTTTACATCACAGAGAAGAAATCCAAAAACAACTACTGGAGATGTTGGTAAGAGTGTGAGGGAGGGAGGAACCAGTACTGGAGTGAGAGAAGTAAGAGAAGTGAGAGATGCGAGGGAGCCATCTTGGATGTTACAACGAGACTCTGGGCGCAGCAGCAGTCATAGCGACTACCTGGACGACTACCTGGAGCTGTTAACAAGCAGGTGTGGTAGTGGTCTTGGCTTAGAGACAAATGTGTTGTCTGTCACAATGTGTAAAGCTTCTGCACCAGTTACTACTACCAGCACCACAACCTCCTCTAAAATCATGAGCACCAGTACCTCTGAGACCTATAATGGAAGTATTGCCACTGCTGTTGGGGCGAACAATGGCGATAAACAAAAGGAAAAGAAAAATGAGGATGTGGAAGCTAGTCATGAGAAGGTTGTGCACAAAGGGAAGGATGTTGAAAAGACAGATACTCACGAGAATGGCAAGAGAATAAGGAGCCCCAGAGAGCTACAAAGAGCAAGGGATGTACTCGGAGAACCTCGATCGCTGTCGGCAACTTCAGAACGTAGGGTGAGCAGGAAGAGCAGAGCCCGGAGATGGTCGTCCGCCCAGTCGTTGGACCCAGGGCGTAGTGTGGGCAGCAAGTAAGTCATTTCCTAGATTATTGTGAGGTGTTACTTAATGTTGTTTTGGTTATAATTGAAGGACCTAGTTTGGTGCTGTCTTTGATTTTTTTTTGTTCTATCTTTTGCATGTACTGTACTGTAGTTGCCTTTCTGAACATTAAGTCAGGTTATTAATTAAGGAGTCATCATTTGTAATTATTACCTCTGGTTATGGAGAAAATTCTGAAATGTGAGTAGTACAGGGGAGTAGTTCAGTCACTTGTAAGAGAAGAACCAGATGTTATGCCAATTTTCCTTCAAACCAATAGTCTTAAGAATGATTAATGTACTTTAGTATTTCTTTTATCATCCTTTTTCTTTTTCAAAACATTCCTGTTATACACTTAAATTCCAGCTTTTCCAGTTATTTATATTATCTTTAGAAAACTATATCCCAGGACAGTTCAGTTCAATTTATTTGATTCTGTGTAAAGTGAATTGATTCAGCCAAAAGTCACGCATTGTTATGAATTTGTTGGTCTGTAGTTTTACCAGCTGGCTTGAATATCATCCAAAGTTAATTAGAGATCCAACATCTTAAATCCCTGACTGTGTGTATGGTGCCAGTGTGACTACTGGGCTCCATAAATTGCTGCAATGTTGTTTCTCTAATTTAAATCAACACCTTATTTTTTTTTTATAAAAGTATAATTCATTGTTGTTGTACATAATATTTAGGCAAAACAAATTGTTTCTGATCTCCAGACTGATATAATTTTTCTAGGATACACGCTCAAGCCATGTGGCTCTTATAATGCAGGCTCAGACAACCCCATATTAGATCACCCAGGGTTGATTGTTAATACATTTTGGATATACTGATGAGGTCCTTGGTGCTGGAGTTGTATTCTGAAGGCATAAGCTATTATAAGAGACATCTCTGCCTCATCAGCATACACATCACACCATAACTTCCCTTTATCATCTTGACTCCTGGCCAGTCTGCCATTTTGAACTGACAGTCAGAGAGGATGGACACTTCAGACCTTCCCTGCTCTTCCTATATTCTACAAAACCTGTCTTAACCACTTAAATGATTATTTTAGTTACATACATTTCAACAATATAGGACACTGTTCACCACATATTGGCCAGACCTTTTATTTAAAGTAAGGAAGAATTGTTCACCTCGTCATTAGTAAGACAAAAAATAATTTGTACATGTATGGCAGATATCATAGAGAACATAACATTACTCTTTACATCTAGAATAGGTAGCTAAGACTTCTGTTGAAAAATTATTGACTCGTGTATTTTAATCTCTGAATTAGCATTTCTTTATTGATAAGCCTGTGTATAATGCTCAGTATCTTGTGACAGGTACCTTGACAGCTACCTGGGCAACTTAACAGATGATGCTTGGCTGCAGTACCCTACCCAGCTGACCTCCCGTCGTATGGTGTTCCTTGACTCAGATGAGTACATCCACTCAGTGAGGCCACACGGTGTTAGAAAACTCCAGGAAGATAGTTCGAGGACTAGATACCATTCACTTTCAGAGAGCTCAGCATCAGAGGACAGCAAGAAGCACGACTCTTACGTCACATCATCAGACGACCCTCTCTCTAATATCCACGGCAAGAGTGACTCATCTGAAGACTGGTCAAAGGATCCATCAAGCAGAGACAATAAAAGAGGAACAATTAATCAACTTTCTGCAAGAGAGGATCAACCAAATATACCACAAGCTACATCACAAGCTCCTCAGCAGAATTTAGGCCCTGACAGTAAAAACATTCCAACCAATGTGTTCTCAAATCAATCCACCCAGCCGATCCAGGAATCTACAGATTTATCCTTTGAGATTCACAATGTACAAGAGAACATCTTACATGAGGCTCCTGAAACACCTTCAGATAGGACAGAGACTAAGGTTAGTAGTGATGAAGGAATTGAACTTCTTGGAAGCCCAGCAAGCACAGGTTCTGATGTGAAGATTGTTATTGATGGTAATGGTTCCAAGAGCTCCAGCAAGGAAGAAATTTCCATAGTAGAAGAAGAGATTGAGGTTAACCCACCCAGCCCCAGTCACAGTGCAGAAGTTGCAACTAAAGAGCAAGATAAAAGTGGTGTGGAGGATATGGTCCCAGAATTTAAGTTTGGGGGGGTGGTAGGCTGTGCTGAAAATAATGAAGAGCGTCAAGACAGCTCATCTGAAGACAGCAGTGAAACAGAACCAAGTACAATTGTCTATGTGGAGGACTGTTCAATTGATAGTCTTAGTCTTAGTCTTAGTGAAGGACAGAAAAATTCACTTGTGGAGAGTGAAGGAAAAAGTAAGTCACAGATAGATCTTAAGGCACATAGCAATACTCAGATAGGTAACAAGGAGCAGAGCAGCTGGCAAGAAGATGGTAAGGGACCTGGTAGTGAGGTAGAGGAAAGTGGTGGAGTTACTTTGGGTGAGACAGGCACAGTTTTAGTACATGAAGAGAAAACTTCACCAAGAAAGGACAGTGAAAGGATATATAATAAATTGCCTGAACAATCTCCTTTAAAAAGTGTCCAGCTTGTTAAAGCATCAAAATATGCAGAGGTAATCAATGAAAGTGATACAAGAAGAAATCCAGTGACAGGTGAGCAAAGACTCCCAAATAATGATCAGGGCAAGAAAGGAATTGCAGAGTATGACATTTATGATTCAGAGGATGAATGTTTGGTAGTGCAGGTGTATGAAGATCAGAGCATTATATCCCATAGTGGAGTTAGGAGAGAGATGTCTGAATTGGGAAGAGATAGCAGTGCAGATTCTGATTATGTAGAGGAAGTGGTGAAAATTGTGCCCCAAAGAAGAGACAGGATGAAGAATGATGTGGATACCAGCTGTGTGGTGGAGCTTGTGCCATATAGAGATTCAGAAGATGCTATGGGTCAAGTGTTGACTCTGTTGAGGGCCAAGCAGCAGCAGGAGCTGGAGGAGTTGCGAGTACGACAGGAAGAGGAGGTTCGTCAGTTTATTAAACAGTTGCAGAATGTGTCACCCGAGCACCTACATGCATTTCTCGCTGCCAGCCATGCGAGTGGATCAGGTGAAAGTAGCAGTTCTGGGGATGGTCCCTCATATGTGTTGTCTCAGACGGCTCTCAAAACCAAAACTGTTGTTAGACCAAGTATTGAAAATGATGATAGTAGAAATGTAAACAGGCAACAAAGATCAAATATGAATATTGCATCATTCAGTGAGGCATCTGTTTATAGTGACAGTGATGATATTGTGGTTTCCAGTTCTGAAATCCCAGTTTTAAGTATTGAAAATCTTGAACAGATTCCATCAGTAATTCCTTCACAACCTGGTCAGGCCAGAGAGTGGAACAGTCAGTCAAGTTCATCATCATCTAGCACCACACATCCCCTTGTTGTCACACTGCCATGCCCCTCCACACATCTCCCAATATTGACATTTCCACCTGCCACTACTCATCCACCCACAACTGTTGACAAGGCTGAAGTAGAATCTCCTAAGCCACGACCCTCCAATCATACCAATCTCATGCCATCATACATTATGAATGAAGAGATGAGAAAATCCACAGGGCATCAAGAGAATGATAACTACATGCAGCTTGATTTAGACTTAAGAACAGTCAGTCCTAAACATCCCTCTACCCAAAGTCCTCATCACATCCCAATCTCAGGGACTTCAATGGATGAGTCTGGAAGCAGTAGTGTGGAATATTCTCATGCCAGGAACAACAATGCAGATGCTGATGACTCACTTAGCTTCATCAATGGGAACTGTGTGAATTATGGGGATGGAATGCAGTACTATAGATTATGCACTCCCGACGAAGACCTCAGCATCAGTGAGATTACCCCAAGGACCACCGAGGTGGAAACCCACTATCAGTCTAAGCCTACAGAAACAGTAACTCAACCTGGATTGTTCAAAGTTATGAATAATGGCCCATGGCCAGGCCCAAGGCCCACCAGTATCACTAGCCTCCTGGCAGAACATCCAGAGATTTTCAGAGAAGACATAGTGGAGGTGAATTTGGAGCATGCAGGAGATTGGGGAACATCTACTGTGGGACTCAGGGACCCTTGCAGGACTGTAGTGGATGAGTGCAGCATGACCCGCGAGGCTGCTGCCACGGCAGAAGGTGGGCTCGACATGGTGCCAGAGAGAGAGAGTGCTGCCAGTGTTCACTTCCTTCGTCTGGTTAGTGATGGAAATCTTAGTTATATTGTATTGCAGTAATTGTCTGATATTTTTAATTCTAGATATGTCATTTCTTTCATGCAAATTGGGTTTCCTTATACGGAATCTTCCAAGAACTGTGGTGGTCATGATACCACTCTTCACAATCTTCATATGTACAGAAGCGCATAGAATGAAGGAAGAATAACGGCTTTAGAAAATACACTTTCCATAGTAACTCTTATGTTAGTGTATACATTTATTATCCACCAGGTTTTAGGTTTATGGATAATCTCTTCTCCCTAAGCTTTGTTACGAGCCAATTACATGTAAGCTTGAGTCACAGAGTATGATGGTCTGTGTGGCTGTCGATTCCAAAATATATTTTTCCATTTCTTTAATATTTTATTTATGTTTGAAAATATATTACTAGCCAATATATTTTTGTTTGAGTGGCATTTCTGCATTAATTGTTAGGATCATGGCTGTGTAACTGCAACCCATCTCTAGAATATGTAATTACTGATGCTTTTACAAACTTCAGATACTGTAATTTGGAGGAGATACTGCATGAAGTAAATACTGTATGTAATGTAATGTGTTATTGTAGATTGAATTAATTTTGTCCTCTTTAAAAAGCTATTGTGATGACCCAAGAAATTATGTAATAGTGTACCACATAAATCCTAGCAATGAGATCCTACGGTGTTTTATCCTCTCTTACTGTATAGTGGGATTTCATTGCTGTTATGATGAAAAGTTGGATATTTGATTATAAAGAGAAAACTTTGAATATATGATCATATTATCCAGAATGACAAAATTTTTAAAGGTTTTCCCTGAATGAAGAAGGATGGTTAAAACTACAGTGCTGGAAGGTTAAGGTTAGAGCAATAAATTGAGGATGATGAAGTGTATATGAAATATTATTTAATGATTATGCAAAAGTACATTTGTTATTGGATGTTCTTGCAGAGTCAGAACGTGATCTTTGTGAGGGGCATCGTACTTCTACAAGCTTGTGTCAGAAGGTACATGACACAGAGACTTCTGCGGACCAAGTTTGTCCAAGAGCAGCTGGCAACACTAGCAGAAATTGCCAAGTTAGCCCAGCAGTTTCATTGTGACATCCTTACTGACAACATCCACAAGGGAGATGTAGACTTCCACAAGGCACTGTACAACCAGGTAAAGCTGCCTTGTTGATTGTGTATGTAAGATGTTGCTAGGATGTGGTGGACTGGTCACCCTTATCTGGTTGTCCAACACACAGGTCAATGCGCTATTTTTATTTTAAGGGGATATGTCCCTGCACTGTGTGGATGAGTTCTGCTGCGTGGGTGACATGATCAGTGCTGTAGCTGGCTCACTCACAAGAGACAGAAGTGGCTTGAGTAAATATGGGGAGTTAATGCCTTTCTTGGTGGCAAAAAGACTTTCCTATGTGTGAAAAGAAAGATATATGCAATAGTTATGAGAAAGTTGTTGTTGCATGGCAGTGAAACATGGGCAGATAAAGGAGGATGATGTATGCAGGTTTGGGTGAACTGAAATGTGAATAATGCGGTGGATGTGCAATGTGATGCTGAAAGATAGAAAGACCTGTTCAGAGTTAAGAGGGAAGCTTGGTATTGAAAGTATTGGTGGAGTTTTGTGAGGATGGTTTGGGCATGTTGAGAGAATGGAGGAGACAGGTAAAGAGGTGCATGACTTTAAATGTGGAGGAGGAAAAGAGCCAGGAGTAAGCCATGAATGACATAAGGAGAAGTTGTAAGAAATGACCTCAGAGCTAAGAACTGAGGAGAGAGGTTGCAAGAGACCATGCAGCATGGAGAGCTGCCATAAGGTAATCACGGCTAAGCCACTCAAATGCTGAAAAAGTCTCTAAAATGTAGATGATGATGATCCATTATTTCTGTACCTTGTATCCCATTGTTTTACTTTATAATAAATTGTGTGTGTATATATATATATGTCAATGTCAGGTTACATAGTACAGTAGTTTTCTTTATAGAATAAAATTATAATGTAATATGGTTTTGGTCTAACAATAATGTTGTGACCTTCAGGAAGGCCTGGCTCGAGAGAGGATTCGAAGGGTGTTTTTTGTACTTAGTGTTCAAGAACAGATGTCTCTCATCTGTCGGGACCGACAGCTCTGGCAAATGGAGCAAGAACGACAGACTTCAACAATTTTGCGACCATCACCAACACACAGTAATTCATCTAAGCCTAAGAGCAGGTAACTAACATGCAGCAATAATATTTCATGTTTAAGAAAGTGGGGTGGTTTATCTGTGGTGTATCTTAAAGGTGGAAGTGAATCAGCTGCTGGGAAAATGCACATGTTATAATATTGAGCAAAATCTGCTATGTGTTCGTTTCCCATGTAACTTAACAATACAAGTATTGAAACTAACATGGTAATATTAGAACTTAGCTCACTGATCTAGGTCTTATCTTATTGTGAATTTGGCAGAAATGTTGAGGATAGACCAAGATCAGGAATAGCATCAAAGACACCGGCAGCAAAGAGACCTTCTCCTACTGCCCCAAGACCTCAACAGGAGGTTAAAGCTCGTGCTGGATCTCTGAGAAGCAGAACATCTCGGCTGGTGCAGCCTTCTCATGCTCATCATTTGTCACCATCACACAATGTTAATATGTCAAATGTACACACAGATCATAAGGTTTCCTCCAGAAGCAAGTTGCCTGTTCAGATGGAGCGATCAACTTCACACGTAGACAGTGCACCTTCACACTATACTAAGACATCACATGTTAAGTCCCCACAAGACACTAGATCTGGCCTCCTCCCAAGTAATAGATGTGCATCACACCCTCGCAGCAGCAGTACCTCTCAGATACCCAGTCGAACTAGTTCAAGACAAAGTTCCAGAGCGTCAGGTCACGTGGCCAGTGTGAATCGAAGTATGAGCTGCAGTAGCAGGAGTACTACTCATTCCAACAGTCCACGTAGAGGTAAGGATGGCTTTTAAAATGTAATTGATCTAACTCTTGTGGATAAGCAAATGAAGACCTTAATTGTCTTCAAGTAACAATGGAGCACAGTACAGTATTACCATCCCCCTTCACAAACACTGGATTATTATGGTACAGTACCATAGCTAATAGGGTAGTGTAACAATTATTATTTAAGGCTGAAGATTAAGGTTACCACCAGCCTTCCATTACCTAACAGGTCTCAGATGTGGGAGTCCCTTATGACATGGATTAGGTCACAAATGATGGATTGATCTTAAATTACTGTAGTGTTATTTTTACAAAGTGTACAGAAGTAACTGAGCTACCCCTCCCACCCCCAAGTGAGTACTGATGAAGGTAGCTGGAAATAAAGTTTGAAGCTTAGGATGACAGCTTAAGGCTGAGACATTAGACAAGAACTATGTGCACTGCTAGGGTGCCACCACACGTTAACAACACAATAGCCTTCAGCCTTCTGTGACATATTTTGCATCTAATTCTGTACCACTTTTATTTAAGGGCTGTGGTTGCAATGAGAAGTTATGATTGATCAGTGGATTAGTCCCAGCCATTAATGTTTGAGGACGTCCTGGGTTTTCATCACATGGTCTTTTTGGGCTTAATATGTGAGTCATTTAGTCCAGACTTTGTCATAAAACAGGATATAAGGATCAATCTTCATTTTTTTTATGCTTTTCTATTGTTTACATTGAACTGTATCATTCCTCCAAAATGTATACAGCTTGGCAAATATAATGTACTGTATGTTTAAAATCAGATTTAGCTTTGTCCAGATACTGATAATGAAAAAAAGTGGTAAAAGTATTTTGTCGTTCCTCAATTACAGCACATAAAATTATTAACTTTCTTTCTACTTGACCGTTGTGAAGTGTTAGATGATATTAAGAGAATAGATCAAAGCATTTGCCCCAGGATACTGCATTGTTTAAGTAATAAGATATCAGTGATCCATTTTCAAGCTCTTTAATACACAAAATTTACTTTGGGACAATATGGTTCATAACATTTTCAATATATTGTTTTGCAAGTACTGTAGGTAGTGTAGTGCCTCCAGTGGTACTGAGACATTGTCTTTCTTTCATTATATTCTAGTTATTAGTGTACCTTTACTTTAAGAGAATAGACCCAATAAATATGGAAAGAAGGCTGCCAAGAGGAGATGCTAAAGTTGTGTGGTAGTATGTGACATTTATTACAACCCATTTAAATGAAAATGGAGTGAGATAGACAGACAGACAGATGGACATTGCCGTTCTCTTCTCTTCCCTTGTGATCACTTCTCTTTCTACTAATTAAATATAATTTATATTTTTATTGTTGTTCAGTGATAATTATTATTATTATTTTTTCAATAAAATGTCAGTCATTAATTATTTAATGAGAAGTTAAAAGAGAAAATTGACTGCATCATCCAAATTTAGCTTCAGACCAGTAACAAGCTTTTCCCAAGGAAATTTCTGAAGATTGTTGGCCCTTTGTAAAATTCCCTTGGGACCTGATTTTTTTTTATGCTGCCAGCATCAGGGACCTGATGTTCTCAAGAGAAAACCTTGAATAGTGTAACATATGAGAACATCCCAGGAAGACTGCACAATAAGACAAAAAAAATTATCTGTTTATTTGTAAATAATCCTATTGGTGTGGTAATGTCATTCCTTTATTCAGCATATTCTCTTATTACTGATACATGAAAACTTGAATAACTTTATATACTTTCCCCAATGTGATGCAGCTCATCAGGTGGGACATGCGCCTCCACTGGCCTTCGCAACAACGCGGGGTGGAATGGACAGGGTAAACACTAGTCTCACATGCCAGATATCACAATGTCACCATTTGAGGAAGGCTTGAGTGCAGTGTGCATTCTCTTGTGATCATAAATTTCATATCTTTTGTTTACACAGTACATTGTGAATTGCTGATGCTGTAGCACTTCCAGATTGTGCCTCCATCTCACAGGTTTTCCAAAACACTCTTAGCAACTTAGTACTGTTGCCATTTTTTGGTTCTCAACAGAGACACTAAAATTAGCACCAGATGCATGACAAACAGCACTGGCACACATCACAAAACCCAGCTGATTCTTGGATGACTGATTTATCTTATTTTATGCTTAAATATAACATTTTGTACAGTACTTTCACTTACACTTTAAATGACTACACACAATACTGTACATTTGTTTATGAATATTGAGAGCAACAAGAAACATCTGTTTTCAGTTTGCTAAGCATAGCAGTTTTTAAATTGGCTATAATTATGTATCATATGTACAAGGAAAAATATAATCATGAGAATTTTAGACAAGCTTTTAAAACTATGTAAACTAAATGGCAATTTGTGTATTGTGGATCTATCTCCAAGTTTGAGTGTCTATTAATCCGTCAGTCTATAATATGACATCTTTATTACTTCCTATATGCTCCTTCATGAAATACTATGGTTGTATAACAGTGGTAATTTTTGCTTGGTGAGATTGAGCTACAACTGTGTCAGAGTACTTGTATATGATCTGTCCTTTGTGTTGTTGGTTTATCAGAGACTATCAAGCTCATCTTCCTTGGACTGTATCTTTTTTTTTTTTACGGGAATTAGCCCACCCGGGCACAGGTCAAACGACCCACAACGGGGCCTGGGGGGCGAAAAAAAAAAAGAACAGAAAGAAATTGAAAATAGAGAAGAAAAAGGTTATACTGTGTTAATCTACACCACGAAGATGTTTTGTTGATAAACAAAACATCCTTGAAAGGAAAGATTGTTAACACTTATATGCAAATATTTTCTTGAGTGCAGGCTTTTAACCTCAAACAGGCACCTAACAAAAGAAATTTTAAAAATATATATATATTCCACAACATATACTGTAGCTTTATAATATATACTGTGCAATAATAAGTTAAACTGGATTCTGAAACAGACAAAGGTTTGGAATTATACAAGTAAACTGACACAATGGTTCATTTTTAATTGAAAATTAATATAGATTCCAAATGAGCTGATGACTGATCACCATCATTCACACATGGTGTAATATTACACTGTTATTACTTACTCTTTTAAGAAAATTATGTTATTATATGAAGGTGAACAGTTAAACTTAAGATAAATGTGTTGTACTTTCAGCAACACCACCAAGGTCGGCCACCAAGACATCCATAGTGGGTAGAAGACCGTGGCGGTGATGGTGGCGGACAGGAGGCCCTGTTGGATGGCACCTAGGCCAGTGGCAACTTCGGGTTAAGACTCTGTATAATGTATCACGTGGCAAAGCTTCACGCATTATAAGCCAGCAAAAGACAAATCTGCATGTATACAAGTCATACATACCACAAGGGAAAACAATATCTGTGAAAGACATGTAAAAGCCTGGGCCTCTTTGTAATGTATTTCCTGGTTAAGCTTTGTAAGTGCTAGACTCTTGTGTGTTGAGCAGCTACTCCAGCCTGTGTCAAGAAACTATCCATTGTATTTTCTCTGTAATGGATATCATGTCAGATACTCAGAATCTTGTATAATTCCCTTTTGCACTGACCTTTACATCCATATTTATTTATTTTTCACATCCCACACATGCACACCCCCACAAGACACACACACACACACACATGTGCACCCCATACAATATTTCACACACTCATGCACACAGATATGAATTTATTTATTCTCGCAAGCCTTGCCTTTTTCTGCTATTATACAAATGTCTGAAATCAAGAAGATGAAGAAAAAAAAGAAAAACGACCCCTTGATACTTCTTCATTCAGTTACCGGTACTTTAACTGGTGTGACATCCCTGTAATCCAATCGACCTTTTGCTCACCTGTGCATTACATGATCGTTTGTTTCCTGGCTATCATTCCTTCCATATTTAGGTCTTCCCTTGCCTCATCCCTACACCTCCTTCTTGGTCTTACCCTCTCACTTTCATCTCCTTCTTGGTCTTGCCCTCTCACTTTCATCTCCTTGGTCTTACCCTCTCACTTTCATCTCCTTTTTGGCCTTGCCCTCTCACTTTCATCTCCTTCTTGGTCTTGCCCTCTCACTTTCATCTCCTTGCCCTCTCACTTTCATCTCCTGGGTTTTATTCTCTTACTGCACATTGAACATCATCATCATCATCACTCTCCTGGGTCAGCCCCTTTCCCACATCTTCTAATTCTGTACAGGGTATATGTTTTTCTCTGCCTCATATTCACCCTTATATAATGTACAGTATACATAACTCAGTACACTAGTATATGGAATTTCTATATCATTTAATGTTTCTTGTGTGAGAGTTGTGGCCATCTCTGTAGGGTGTTGATGCTTCTAGCCTGTTCTGTGCTGTATCATCCTTGGTTTTATGGAGTTATATGGTATACAGTATAGATAAATCCCCTTCTTCTCTTATTAATTATAAACTGGATATTTGTGACCAGTGTAATGTTCAAAAAGCTAGTTGGTATGAGGTCATGCCATCATAAAGTGAATAAGTGTGTAAAAGTGAAGCCTTATCTTGGACATTGCTTAACGTTTGAAATCCATTACAATACTTTATTCCGAGTGAACTTTAGACCTATGAAACTTTTCCCCAGAAATTTATGTGCAGCCTATTGTACATGAAAAAACTATATAGTTAAAAGAAACCCATAAGTCGCTGAACAACTCTGGTCTATGTACTATTATGGTATATAATTTAATCTAGTGTTGATATTGAGTATAGTGAAATATACGGTACGGTATCACAAGATCTTGTATATTTCGTATTAGAATTCCTTACCGTCTCTTCCAGTTGCATTTGTTGTCTCCTCACTTAGTCATTATTTAGACTGTCTGGTTTGGATAACTTGCTAGTCACTGTAGGTTAATATTTTTGTATGTGGTTCATGTTTTATTTTGTTAGATAATGTTATAAATGCCACAGTTTGATAGCTTTGCTGAATAATTGGGGGCAGATTAAGCAGTATCTGTGCTGATGATATTACAAACCTCTGTCTCGAATTAACATGCCTTTATACTGTAATGGATGAAATGTGGTAATCAAGATAATGTTGTTTTGATGTCAAGGATATGATTTTTACAATGCTTTGTTATAATTATATCTGGTCTCCCAGTTGTGTATTAAGGCTATTTTTAATTTTCACACATCTCTTTCAATTTTCATTTCATATTTAGTTAGTATATTTCTTTTATTTGTTCTTGCATTTTAATGTATGGATAATCCAAAAAATGTGCCTGAGTAATTTGTAATTACATTGTATATTGTCTTAGATGTCAAAAGATTACAAGAACTCTTTATCTCAATGTATAATATATTCATTGAGCTATTTCCCATGTTTAAAGGAGCAGGCACTCATGGAATTGGTGATTACATCGTTGGTTGAATGGTTGAGGAGTAGAACATGTGTTGGTTGGTTCAGGGAATATGAAAAATGAATGATATAACTACAGTAGAACCTTGAATGATTGTGTTCCCTCAGGACCAACATGGCAGATTAAAAGTACCATTGCAGTAATTTATAACGTGGGGTAGGTAGATAATTCCGCTACATCGTGATCCCAAAGTACAGTATCAGATATGGAAAGTGATACAACTAAGTACACACTGAAAGGTTATAATTGCCTACAAATAACTAAAAAAGTGTTCAGATCTTCCATATTAGTCCTCCACATTGTCATTTTACTCGCATCACTGTCATGTTGCTTGTGAAATCTTGAATGTTATCTACTCTCCTGCTAAATATCAAGCTGATTTTCCTCTCTTGAGTTACTGACTATTGCCAGTTGATCGTGTAGTACAGATAATCCTCCTTGTTTTGTAGTTGCCATTACAAGCTTTCAGTTACAGTACACCCTGAAGGGATGCTGTAACATGACTCGATGATAAGTTGATTGGTGCTCCTGTCAGAATGCCAGTTTCTTTATTTCTTTTAACTTTTCTGTATTAAATATTATCACAAGTTTTCTCTCTTTAAACTTTATTAAATTGTTTCAGATAAAATGGAAATTTTCACATCTTTGGACTTCCATAAAACAAACTGAATTATGAGTGAAATTAATGTGAAATGATTTATCTTATGATCACTAGGTACATGAACACTCGAGGTTCTACTGTATAACGTATAAAGCTGACCAGAAGCAATGCAAATATCTTTTTGTGAATAATTGTAGTAAATACTGAAGAAAAAAAAAAACAGTATTGGTGTTGAATCTCATTATATTGTACACTAGTAGTATTTCTCTCCATTGAACTTATTTGTGTCTAGAAATGATAGCAAAGCTTTCTTTGTACTGTACCACACATGACTGCAGCAAATAGGTAATGAGAGGACCAAATGAGATTACAGAAAACGTTTATATGCCAAGAAGAGGATGGTTACATCGTTTTATTATCAATAAATGTAAATACTGTAATTATTTAATAACTGCTGAAATGGTGCTTTAGAAAAATAAAAGACAAATGGTGCTCCTTAAGTAACTACTGTATCTTCATGAGAGGTATATACATAGAGTATTAAGAAGCTTGGCAAGAACTTAAATCTTTTGACATGAGAAGCAAACATTTTAACACCTACTAGGCATTGGTCACAAAAAATATAATAAGTTGATCTGGTTATAACAATACTCAAGGTTTTCTCTCCATAATTTTATTTATAGATAACCATAATTGAAAGTGCATTATATTTTGTGTTGACTGGAATAGATGCAGTTCTATCTTGTTAAAATGGTGTTTATATCGGTGTAGAGTTAGTGTATGGCATGAACACATCTGGCTGCTGCACAACTGCTGACCAGTTGATACATTAGTATAGGAAAGATATCAACTCGTTCAATGTGAAATGGCAAAAAAATTCATATAATAGAAAACTTTTATATCAGAATATGCAACCCTTCTTCAGGCATGGGAAATGGCATGTTGTAGGTAGACGTCCATGACTTAATCTGTGACCTCACTGCAGTCTTGTCAAATATGTCTTTATAGAGGTATATTTCATTCATAGTACTAAGCCAGTGTTGTAATGTTACACTGGATGTCTTATCTTTATATCATAAGGCTTTCATGTTTTTGTCCCAAGTGCTGACTCCTTGGTCATGGAGTTGCTGATAACAAAATCCTAAAAGTGACAAAATATCTCAAAATTAAGCATTCCAATTTACTGTGGATTCTCTACAAGTGCAAATATTATTTATTTTAGCAAGTATTGATATCATATCACTGGTATTGTAACCAACTACAGTACTTGAATATGGGAGACTTTATTAAGGGTTAGTTACTGCTGCTGCTTGTGCTAAAGCTAAGCTGCAAGTACACATTATTGTAATGTATTGCAGTACAGTACTATATACAATTTTCTTGATTTGCTTGCCTTTACGACAGTTTTCTCAAAGAAAATTGTTTATGATCTCTGTAAATGAAATAAATGTTTAATAAGCTGTTTTGTAGCCACTTTGTTATGTGCAATGTTCAGTATCATGAAGATTGTTGCGTACTGTACCGTACTGTACTCCATAAATGCTGTACTACTGTATTATGGTGAGACAAACCCTGAGGCCAGTACTGTATCAGCAACAGGTGGTATTCATTGTACATGAATGCCACACATTTTCTTGCCTCATGAGCCGAGTGGGAAAAGTATACTGTAGTCTCACATTATACCATTCCATGTGTATAAAGTTATACACCATTATCTTCCTATTACACAATCAATGGAAGAGTAAGGTGTGCCTATTTTATCATTACATATATAGAAATATATATTCATTTTATATTTATTTTGCCTTATTTTAACTTTTGTCAATGCTGTCACATGCCAACATGCCAAGGCATCAGTTTCTCCATGAATATACGGTACAATAGTTGTACTAATTAATTTTATCTTCTGTTTATTTCATTTTTTTTAAGGTCTTCAGACATGACAATAGCACTTGGCAGTCTCACTTATGTTTGGTGAACAGTTCAAGTGAACAAATGAACTCAATAAATACATGACATTTAAATGGAAGATGTTTTATTCAGACTGAGAATATATTTTATGAATAAGTAATGATCAGTTGAATAATATACTGTAATATGAATCATTAAATGTAGACGACTGATATCCAAAAACCTTTGTATACAGTGAACTGTATACAGTACTGTACATAAAAGATCACTTGAATAATGCATTGAGAGAGCTGTATGAAAAGAAGCAAAGTTTGGGATGTACTGTACAAGGGAATCATTAACACAGTACAGTACAGTATTGTGACAGATGTTGGTGTCAAGTATGGTCTGGATGGAAGAGGAAGGAGCAAATTAGAAGCAGTAGAAATTACACATTTGAGAGCAAGTATATGTAGCTACAGTACAGTGTATTAGAAATGGGAATAATTGTTGAATAAGTCTGATGCAATTGATGTTTTTAATAGATTAGGATAAAATCTTGTTTCTAGTTCGTATTTTTCAAGAAATAATACACTGTACGGCGTTTATAAATTATTGCTCGTAATTGATCAGTGTGTGTCCAGAATAGTCAAACAAACTTGGCAGTTGATAGAAGACAATATCAACCACCAAATCTAGGAAATTAAAAAAAAATAGTGAAACATAAATCCACACGTGCTACTGGAAAACTAATGAGAATGATAAAACACGGCTCTACACATGCTGAGCCCAAGGAGGATGAATCTGAAAAGGAAATGAACATAGCTGAAAAGTAGAGGTCAAGCCAAACAGAAGCAACTGTATCAACAAAGGATAATTACTTCAGAAAAAAATGCCTTCGCTCGCACAAACAAGGTGAGAAATAGTCATTAACTTGCTAAATATACCTCCCAAAAAGTAGTACAGTAGAGGTAGTAATTGTGGTGATTGATGTTGGTTGTCATGGTGGCATTGGTTGTAGTAGTGGTGGTAATGGTTGTGGTGTTGGTTGTAGTAGTGGTAGTAATGGTTGTGGTGTTGGTGGTAGTAATGGTTGCGGTGTTGGTGGTAGTAGTGGTAGTAATGGTTGTGGTGTTGGTTGTAGTAGTGGTAGTAATGGTTGTGGTGTTGGTTGTAGTAGTGGTAGTGGTGTTGGTTGTAGTAGTGGTAGTAATGGTTGTGGTGTTGGTTGTAGTAGTGGTAGTAATGTTGTGGTGTTGGTTGTAGTAGTGGTAGTAATGGTTGTGGTGTTGGTTGTAGTCGGTAGTAATGTGTGGTGTTGGTTTGTAATGGTAGTAATGGTTGTGGTGTTGGTTGTAGTAGTGGTAGTAATGGTTGTGGTGTTGGTTGTAGTAGTGGTAGTAATGGTAGTAATGGTTGTGGTGTTGGTGGTAGTAGTGGTAGTAATGGTTGTGGTGTTGGTTGTAGTAGTGGTAGTAATGGTTGTGGTGTTGGTTGTAGTAATGGTAGTAATGGTTGTGGTGTTGGTAGCAGTAGTGACAGTGATGGTGAATTTGGGATTTAGAGAAATTAAGAACCAAACAGTGTGAAGAGCTGCAGAAAGATCTGTATGAGCTTCAAGAATGGTGCAAAAGGATGCACCTGGGTCACACCAACAGTAAGGAGGATTATCACATGTCCCAACAGGACGAAGAAACTGCATTAATTGAGACCGAATGTGAAAAGGACCTGGTTGTATATGTTGACAATGAAGTTGAGTTCTCAGGCCACTGTGAGAAGGTGAATCAGGCAACGAAACTAATAGGTCTTATAAGAAGGTTGTTTAGACATCTGGATGGTCTGTCACCCGTCACGATCTTCGGGAGTGAGGTGCGTCCCAGTCTGCTGTACTCTGACCCTATTTGGTCCCCGAGGTATGCTAGAGACTGTCAATTGATTCAAAATGTCCAAAGGAGGGCCACCAGACCGGTGCCTGCTCTACAGAACCTCAGTTACCCAGGGAGATTAGAAAGCTTGCAACTACCTATCTTATACTACAGACGGGTGAGGGGCAACCTAATCGAAGTGTATAAACATCTCTGGGGGCACTACTCGGCCGAATGTATATAACTGGAGCTGGTGGACGTCTGCTCCGCAAGGGGTCACAGCCAGAGATTGAAGAAGCCACAAGTCCAGAAGTCTACGAGGGCAAACTTTCCGGAGTGAGAATTGTAAACTCTTGGAACAATCTGTCAGAGAGCGTTATGACACCGAGTGTTAGGTCATTCAAGGCCAGACTTGACCAACACTGAAGCAGGTTCCAATATATTCAGGAGCTATCATGTATGGTAGTCACACTGGATAACACCCTTCTCACTGCTGTTCTGAACTGGGGATTGAACCCAAGACACAGTTGTGGGCGATAGGCGCATTACCTCTTCATCTATTATTTGAAATGTGATCGTGCCACTGTTTGTCATTAAATACCGTTTTTGTTGTTACCTAAACATAACCAAAAGGGATTAAAGGGACCGTATGTAAAGGAATATGGGAGGTGTGGTGGTGTGGAGAGTAGCCGACACTCCTACAGGTGGTCGCTGGGGTGGACGGCAGAGGTGAGGTAAACACTGAAGGCGGGACAAGTGTTGTGTTTCATGAGGGTTAACAGTTGGCCCAAAACACCGCTACTCTGTTTTTACATTATCTACAGCCTTGTGTTAGAACTATTAAGACATCAGAGGTATAGTACATATTATATTATTCTTGGTAAATTTGTTTGAGTGGGTCCCTTTCACACATTATTTCGGGAACCTTTCGTTTCCGACGGAAATGCCATAGAAGAAAGGTGTCTTGAAATAGTTAGAATAGTCTGAACTCTGCAAAAAAAAAGTTTTTAATTAAGAAATTTATTTGGGTCCACTAATACAACAATACCTTATTCTATGTTTATTTTACTAGTGTAATATTATTGATTTTATAAAGTTAGCCAAACCGGCCTGTGTAATTGAGTGGAGAATCGTCTTATACAGTACTGTACATTTTTTACACAATGCTAATTAATGTACTATATAATAGCAGGTAATCAGTCTTTTATTTATTAAAACTAGAGTAGGGTAATTATTATTTTTTGTTTTTAAATTTCTTTAAAACAATTATTGTTTGGTAAAGGAATACTATACTGTACTGTATTTGGTGTCATCCCACATGGAAGATTTCCATCGTGATTGTCAATTTTATGCTATTTTTTGCCGGTAAAATGTTAGTTTTAATCATCCCTGTATTTAGATATCCAAACCTACCTAACCTGACCAATCTAATCTATCTAATGTAACCTAACCTAACCAACCTAATCCAACCAACCCAACCAACCAACCTAACCAAACCAAACCAAACCAAACCAAACCAAACCAAACCAAACCAAACCAAACCAAACCAAACCAAACCAAACCTAGCCAAGCCTAGCCTAGACACAGAACCCAGGAACTATATCTAACCTAACCTAAATAAATTCCTAAGATTCTCCTGATGACCAAAACTAAAATAATACCGGTACTGTTATTGTTACCATCTCATTTACATGATTAGGTTAGGTTTGGTTAGGTTACATTAGGTTTGTTAAGTTGGTCAGGTTAGGTAGGTCTGGTTTGGTTAGTTTAAGTTGCCTCAAATCTTCTGTGTGGGGATAAAGGTCATTTTGTGTGGGAATAGTATTAAGTGGCATTTAATCTGTACACAGTATTCTAGGATCTGAACCTTATTATTTGTTCATTTTCTTCTGAATCTTTGTAGAAATATTTGTTTTAGTTCTTAGTGCATAAATTTGATGGTACAGCAAAGACAAATGGGTGATATTGTATTTAATGAACATAAAGTCACAAGTGCTATTGACATTCGGTGAGACTGAGACCTGTCAAAAGTATCAGACCTGTGCCCGGGTGGTCTATTCCCCATAAAAAAAAAAAACTAACCTAACCTAAATATTTTGTAGACCACACACTATAGTAGCACCCAGGACTATATGGTCATTAATTACAAGATTACCAAAAAGTACTGACAATTTAAGAACTGGCAGATAGACCATGCACCTCCATACAGTCGACCAATAACAAAAACAATCACTGGATCTAGTTTCACGATGCTTTTTTTATTATTTGTTGAACAAGACTCTTGGCCTGACTGTCATTTCTGGAGTAAATTAAGAGTAGCACTGTACATAAGGTGTATTTTCCGTGTACTGGAGTTCCATATTATGCATTAAAACGGTGATTAAGTTTGGATCGCTAACCACAGTCATCCTCCATACAGATAATGACAATGGACTCTGTGGGCAAGTATTTGTGGATAGTATGGAGCTACCTAAAGCTTTATGCTCTGGGGTTGTGGTATCTAGTGAAGGAACTCTGCACCCCACACAAGAAACCCTCAGGTACGTTGTTTCTTATATACTGTATTGTAATAATTTACTGTATTGTCCTTCAACACCAGCAACTCTTCCAAGCACTACCACCACCACCACACACTTCCAGCACTTTAGATCACCACCACTACTACCAGCACTCTCCCCCACCACCACCACCAGTACTCCCCCCACCACCATCACCAGCACTCCCCCACCACCACCACCAGTACCACCAGTACTCCCCCACCACCAGTACTCCCCCACCACCACCAGTACTCTCCCCACCACCAGTACTCTCCCCACCACCAGTACTCTCCCCCACCACCACCAGCACTCTCCCCCACCACCATCAATCCCTCACCACCACTATAATTATGTCCTCCCATATTTTGTTTTCCGAGGAGTATTACCGGTACTCAAGAACCATTGGAGACGTCATGATAAAATTTACATACTGTACTGAACATACGACTAACTTAAGGGATATCTATAGTCTACCAGTATGTCTTCAGCATGAGATATTTATGATGTACAGTAGTTTTATTTGTTGTTGAGTATATATTAGTTTTCATTCATATAATTAAACAACTTGGACTTTACATTTGAGAATAGATGATTTACTTTATTGGTAGGTAGAATTTTATTTATACGGTATCTTATCATTTATACAGGGATAGAGAGTCAAAATGGACGTGTGGCTATTGTGACGGGCGGTGGGCGTGGCATTGGCTTGGAAACTGTGCGCCGGTTCCTGGAGCTCAATATGACAGTTGTTATTGGTAAGTTCCTTTCCTTTATTAGTTCTGTATTTTTTTGTTAATGTTTCATCCCATTGATTTGAAAATAGATTGTTTGATAGAAAGATAGATTGGTTATTATTGAAAATGGAGGATTGAAACAGTTATTCCTTCCCACCTGCAACCTTTGGCCCCCAAAATGGTGCACTATGAACCATTAGTTACCTGAAGGTTGAGGATTCTTGCCACTACATAAAGAACAACTGTCCATTACCATCATGTGCTCACCTATAGCCCCATGATCAGCTCAGGCCTTGGGGATTTTGTTTTTATAACCAACCAGTGTAAAGACAATTATAGATTTACAGTATCATATATTATTTCATCCTTGACTTCATCATTATCTTGTATACTGTAGCTACTGTAATAACTTTCAACTGGTAGATACAGTAGCACCTGTACCATTAAGCATATCTGTATTTTTTTATACCTTATTATTATATAGATATGTTAAATTGTACTGATAATTATGTATCATGTCCAGCGGGTAGAAATGTAGCTGCTCTAGAGGAGGCTGTGTCCGAGTTGCGAGCCGAGGGGATACAAGGAGGAACTACCAAGTGCCTGGAACTTGATCTGATGAGGCTATCTTCTGTCCGCAAGTTTGTTGAAGAATTCTTTGCCCTCAATTTTCCTCTCCATCTTCTTGTTAATAATGGTGAGTCCTGTGAGCTGTACAGTATAACATGAGCCAGTACATTATGTGCATATCAATTAGAAGAACCATGTTGCAAAGGATGTACTGTACTCTATTGTATTATAATATTAGTCTAGTGATTATGGTCCATGTCATATTGCCTTTTTCCTGAGCCACTGGATGTTCTGAACTGTTTTAATACATTATGTGCAATTAAGTTATTCAACTTCCTAAGCTAAGATTAACACATCTTTGCTGGCCAGTTATGCCAGTCACCTTACCTATATGAATTTGTTGAATGTATTTGATATAGAGAACCTCCAGGCAAGATTGTAAAAAGAAAGACAAATTTGAATACATTATTTGTATGGAAGAATGATGAGGAGATGACAGCTTGTATTTAAAAAAAATATCCAGTAAGGTCCCACTTAACAAGCAATACTGTACACATTTTTGAAAATGTGGCCGTTAGGTAAATTCTTGTTCAGCGGGACCTCTTTTCCTGTAGGATCTATTGTTAAAAACAGATGTGTTCCAACCCAAATTTTTTTTACCCAAATCACCAAAGATAAACTTAGAACTACTCCAGCCCAAAGAATTTCACCCCTAAAACCTAGCCAAACAAGACTAAACTGAAGATGAATGTAAAAATAACGAGAAATGAGTTAGCAAGGGTGATGCATGGTTCATGAGGCAGAGACCATGATAATAACAAATGCCACCAAGTTGTTTAGACTCACTGGCTAGCCAGACTGGTACAGCTTCCTACTGACTAGTACATCAGAGTACAATATAGAAAAAGAATTTGAGTCCACTAACCTGTCTGGCTACTCTACCAGTGATAAAGAATGGCTAGTCCCACTCCTTGAATGATAGTGCGAGCTGATTCACTTGTAATTTTGCCTGTTAAATTAAAAAGAAGTCTGTTGACTAATGTTTAAACTCTAAAACATTAAGCTGATTAAACCAAATTTATGTTCATCTCTTACTCATTCAGCAGAACCATACTGTATTAATTTATATCTGTATGTGGATACAGGAGAGGCCTTATTTTATGCAGGAGGAACATTTGATTGATAATTATTGATTAAATTTTTGTCTATTATATTTTAGAGTTTTATTAATACTGGACAGTATTGTTTTATATATTTTATTAAAACTTTTTCCTTTATGTCAGCGGGCATTATGTTCTGGCCAAAGGAAATAACAGAGGATGGGCATGAGTCACACTGGAGTGTGAATTACCTTGGCCACTTCCTCCTCACCCACCTCTTGTTCCCAAGCCTGGTAGCCAACTCCACTCCAGAAAGGCCTGCTCGGGTGGTTAACTTATCATCATCAGCACATTATATTGGTTCCATCAATTTTGATGACATTAATAGCAAGTAAGTTTTGTCATTGTTTTCTGCAGGTGTGAATATTTATTAGTCTCCTTTATCACCTGTTATAAACTTTATTCATATATTTATTATTATTATTATTATTATTGTGGTTATTAATATTATTATAATCATCATCATCATCATCATTATTATTATTATCATCATCATCAGAATTTCTGTTATCAGTGAAAGTAGGTTTACCTGTACATCCAGAATCTTTATTGCCACTTGTCAACAGGAAACATTATTGTGCTCGGGCTGCATATTCACAAAGCAAGTTGGCGCAGTTAATGTTCACCATGACGCTGGCTGATCACCAGAGATCTAGTGGAGGGAACGTCGTGGTCAATGCTGTCCATCCAGGTGTTGTGGCAACACAACTATTTCAACATGTTGCATGGGCAAGAATTTTCCCCCTGCTGGCAACAACTTTCCTCAAGGTAACTAATTCTTGTATAATGACTGGTTCTTGGAGTTTACTGGTAACTGTATAGAGGTTAACCATTTGTATACAGTACTCTGCTGTACTGCACGTATTTTTTTTTATCCTAAACCTGTAATGACAGACAAGAATTCATATACAAATGTTTTCATTAAATTTTTCTTGCACTACTTTTGGATTTTGTGTTAAATTATGTGGAATGTATAAAATACAGTACTGTACTGTAGAGTAAATTGAATACATATGGTATTATCTTCTCTTTTCCTGGGAGGACATCTTCCTACTAATCTGGAGTATTGAACATACATTACTTTATGAAAAGTTAATATTTATATGTAGTGTAAATTTAGACTTGCTTATGCTTGAAGTCTTCTTCAGATGTTTGGTTCCTAAGAGTTCTTCTCAATGTGAAAATTCTCACATTGTTCTTTGATCAGGTAATGATGGTTAACCCACACAAGTGTGGAAAATGACTGTATAACATTATTGATGATTGTCCTGTGATCATTTTCTAATTATCTTAACTGTTGATTCTTATTTTCTGTGCAAAAATCTTGTTTTATCTACAATAGTTCTCTCCTCCAGGGACCTCCCCTCTGAGGGAGTGGCCACGACAGAAGAACCTCCGGGCCATCCTATCACTGCATACCTCCTTTGCCCTTTCTTTTCACTTAATCCCCTCCCCAGTTTTCTCCTTCATTATTCCACCTTTCCATTCCAGTATGTCTGTTCTCTCACTCTACCCAGTGAACCTATTACATTTTTCTATACTTCTGTACTGTACACTGTTACATCTTTACTGTCCTCCCCTCCCTCATTCTTCTCACTTACCCATACTATCTCAGAAAGCCTCATCTGTTACATTCAACATTAGTTTAAAACATTCTCTCCATCTCACCTTTACTTACTCCTTGTATAATGTTCCCTCTTGTTATTCTTACCTGGTTCTTTTGATCTTTTGTAGCATATTCATTTCCTTCCAAAACAGCTTCTTGTCCTCTTTAACACCTGACAACCTTTCTACCCTTCTTTTGTCTTCTCTTTTTTTCTTCCTGAGGTGAGAGGCTGAACCCAGCTCAGTTGTAAAAGTTGGAAGTGGCTGGAAGAAGTTCATACAGCTGGTGTGAGAAGTGAAATATTGGCAGTGAGACTTAGACAGTTATAGAGGATGACAAATGTAGTGAGGTGAAATAAGAATAGTGAGGTGAATGTGAGATGTGGCATTGAAAGAGAGGAAATCTTATTTAGAGTTAAGAGGGCAGCTGGGTATTGAGAGTATTGCGTTGGTGATGTTTAGTTTAGAAGTACAGTACGTTGAGATGATTTGGGCATGTGGAGGAAATGGAAGAGACCAATTGGGTCAAAAGATGCAGAAGTCTGACTTTGGAGAGGAGGATAGCCAAGGTTAGGCCAAGAATGACATGGAGAAGATGTTGTAAGAAATGACCTTGGATATAAACTTATGTCTGTATGGTAAGGAGCTTCCATCTGGTAATCATGACCAACCTTTGAAAGAGTGGGAAAACAGCTGTGAAACTGTGATGATGACCATATTTTTTAACCCCGTTCTGTCGTCTCTATGCTTTTCTCTTCCACCTTTCCTATCTTTCAATTATTACCTGTCGCTCTTGTACCCACACTCCTTGGTTGCTCTTCTGGGTCAGGATTTATAAACTGTTCTCACTCCTTTTCAACTCCTACTTCACCCATATATATGTTACCCTTCTCACCTCAGTTATTTCTTTAATATTTTCAGCCACATTATCATTCCTCAACTTTTTTATTTTTTTAACCACTTCCTCATTTATTAGTCAGTTGCGTGGTACAACTTCCATTCTCTGTTACTGTATTTTTGCTTCTTCCAAATAATGTTCTGTCGCTCTTTTGCACAGCTTCTTATAGAACGTTTACATCCACCATCTTACATTTCAGTCTTCATTCCACTAACAACTGGTGATCTTCTCTTTGTCTTCTGTTAATTTATGGATGTCTTTATTTTTGAAACCATAAACTGTATTTCCTATTATCATGCAAATTTATCTCAGTTTCTCTCCCTTTCCTTTCATTCTTGACACTCGTTATTATCTGAAAATTCTGTCCATTTTCCTGTCACTCATTCTCATGTTTGAAGCTTCCATCTCTTTCTCTCACAGTGAAGCTTTCAGTGTAGTAATTCAGATCTTTCTAAATCTCTCTTTCCTCCTCCCTCCTTTTCACTCCTTGGGGTACATGCACTCACAATAACCCATCTCTTATACCCATGATATTCTGGGATTGACCCTCAGGTAGTGGGCAACTACCAAACAGGGAGGTGGTACTGCATGGGAAGATATTGGAAGCATAATGTGTTGTCTAATGGTAGACCCTGCTGCTATATGGCATCACAAAAATTGTGACCAATTCCCAGGCTTCTGATCTGACTTTCTGTCTCATTTGCACACAATTGCAGGTCTAAATTGTTTCTCTTACTTGACAACACAACATATATACAGGTACAGGTATATCGTTTCTCACTTGATTTTATTTATTTATTTTTATTTCTTTATAGTTCTTTATTCTTATTATTATTATTGTTATCATTATTATTTTATTTTACTTTTTATTATCAATTTTATTTACGATGAATAATTATTAAATTTTTGCCTCCCAGGCCCCAATGTGGGTCAGTGACCTGTGCCCGGGTGGGCTCATCCACGTAAAAAAAAAAAAAAGTAGCGTCAGGCTTCCTCATTCATCAGCATCATGACACACCATCTTACTCTCATCCTACCAAACATTCCCAAGCTCAGGCCCCTCACCTGTCCCCAGCAAATCTCTCCTCTTCTCTTTATTTCCCTCTGAGCCAGGATATCCAGGTTCCTTTCGTCCATTACCACTCCAGTTATTCCATTCGTCACTTCCTTATTACAACCACGTACATTCAAACATGTGAGTGTATTTTGCTTTTCTCTTCTATATGGTAAAGGTGTGCAGAGATAAAGTTTACTAGCTCCATGGCTATATTTTCATTACCTATAATATTAGTAGTAATAGTTGTTGTCAAGGAGATGGGCAAGAATAGATGAAAGTGCAAAGACTAATTACCACATTTAAGCCTTGCAGTTATACGGGGATGAAACTTGTTGAGTTTGCACTTCATCAATTCTTGCCACCTGTCCATACCTTGTCAACATTTGTTTTCTCATTTCTTTGCTGGGGTTCTCAATGAGGTGGAGGTAATTTATCACTAAGTCTGATTTTGATGTTTTTACAGTACCAGCAAAGTTCAGTAATGTAATTAACACAATAAAGAAAAGTACTGTACACTGCATAAAACCAGAATGCAGTGAAATCCCCCCTTTCAAAAGAAAAATGTACAGAGGGTGTAGATATAAAAGCAGTTGCTGTTCTGTGTCACCCTCATACTACCAAAGATCCCATTATATAGTTCCTTTAATCTTTCTCTCGTATTTATCCTTTGAACTTTGTGTGTTGCTGTCCACTTTCGATTCCTCACCTTTGTGCATTCAATAAGAACTGACCTCCAGCCAAATTGACTATATAAATCATCTGATGTTGAGACCAGATCATGTGTTCCTGGAGCAAAATCCTGATTAATGTAAGGAACCAAAAATTATTTCTATGATTGTATAGAATATTTTAATTTGTGTCACTCAGAAGTTCTCTAGTTTGTGTGGTGATTTTCAGTTAGTAACCCACAACCCCCATTGATCCTCAGCCTTATAAACATTAAGCATTACTAAATTTATTCTTATCAAACACATAAAGAAAATAATTTTGTCCCCTTCTCCTAACTCATATTTACATCTTTCCTATATTGTCTACATAGGAATAGTCACTGCATCTGGCCATTCACTTTTCTCAGTCTCTAAACCTTTACAAATGTTACTTACTTTTTAAACTGACAAGCCTTTGCCCACCTGAGCATGGTAGCTCGAAACCAAAGCAAGTACTACACGCCCACTTACTCTCTTCATGTTGGCTGTCATTTTCCCTGCTGTCATAGATATCTTCTGCTTCTATAGTAGTCCTCCAACATGGCCACAGATCTGCTTTAACTCTATTGCTTTATACAAGTATGTTTCACCCATCAGCAATGCACCCTTCCCCCAAAATCATTTACACATACACACACATAGTGGTACCTCTTGAATATCCTTCACTCTCACTCTTTGTATTTGTTTTTATATTTCACAACATGTAATTTCTTTAATTCTGATTTGCTCTTTACCCAGGCATCCAGGTTCTGCTCTTTATACCTATATTATGTTACCTCAAGCATTTCCCTTTACATCTGTGTCTCCTTTGATATGGTTCTCTCTCCGTATGATTATATTCCTCATAGTACATCTTACTTTACTTTCTCTCCATCCATTACATATCCATTCTCAGATATCTTGTGCAGCACACTCTTCTTCCTTTGTTCAATCTTTATATCCGTCTCCCGTCTCTATTTTTATCCGTTTACTTTTGTTTTATTGACTCAGCTTTCTCCTAGTACACATATACACATTTCCATAATACATTCACAAACAACAATAGTTTTTTCCTCTGAATCTTCCACATGAGAATTGTCTTTCCTAAATAGCAGTTGACTCACTCTCACACCTCTCCATTATTCGTGCTACCCCAACAACACTGATGACTTTACTCCCTTGATGTAATCCTACTTTTTATGGGAACTAGTTTCCTTATTCCTGCAATGTTTTATATATATATTGTATATCCTTCATTCTCCTTAGGAAAATTCTTGGGGATTATTAAACCAATATCTATTTACCTCAGCCATATTCAATTTCTCCCAGATTGCTTTTTATCTACTTAATCTTCAGCTTTTTCTTGACCTGTAAAGGCCCCAATTTACTCTTCCCTTCTCCAGATATTTTTCACTCTTTATTCTTTAATGCAAACACTTGATTCACGCAGTTTTTGCTGCACTTGTTTCAGTAGTAATTACCTTAATCTTTGCTGTTTTAATTAAGAAACTTATTCCTGTATATCCTTTTCATACTTTTATTAAATTTTTTTCCTTTGTGCTATATAGGAGAAATATCCACTTTCTCAGCCATTTCTTTGGCACCTTTCTGTGTACATTCTTTCCATCCATTTTGTTTCTATTCCACTAGGCAACCTTAACATTACAGGCATTCTTACCTCTTCACAAATATTTTTCTTTTGCTTTGACACTGTTCAGACCACAAGACCTGAGGCAGAAGAATTCTGTATTACTCTCATGTTGCATGTAGTGGATGTTCAAAGTGTTCTCCCCATATTCCTTTTAATTATGTTATACACTATACATATTGTATACTATTGCCTTTACAGTCTAAAAGTGCAACAATAAACACATTTGACCTAATTTCTTTCTTATCACAGACTCCTCATCAGGGATCTGACACAGTGGTTCATGTAGCACTATCATCACAAGCGATGGAGGGCGGCTACTACTATGAGAACTGCACCATCACAAAGCCAGCCACAGCTGCCATGAACAGTGATGACCGTGCATGCCTCTGGGTCCTTTCTTGTAAGCAGCTTGAAATAGAGCATTTTGGGCAGATATGATGTTTTTTTAGTGGATAAATTATTTGAAGAAGATGCTACATGTGGTTATTCATCTTGAACAAAAGGTAAAACTGATATTTGTGTACCATCCTAAAAATATGTTCTGCCACACAGAACACTGCTTTTCAATATAATCCATCTAACTGGTCAGGATACAGGTACAGTAGTCTGAAAACTATTGTGATAATGAAATTTCTGAATAAATACTCATCTCAAACCCCTTACTTACATAACCTTGAAGTAGATGCCAAATATTACCAAATGTTGAAATAATTTTTTACCACAACTGTACAGTACAGTACATGATTTACCTGTACAGTCAGGGTGAAATGTTTGCTCAATCCCAAAATGAAGCAACATTGACCTCAAATGAGATAAAACAGCACACCCGCACCAGATAACAGTCAGGGTAAGTTCGGAGACTCAGTCCCGTGACTCGGTTTCACCACAGGGAGCGAACTTTTGTTCGCGACTGTACAAGTATTAACAGAATTGATTTGGGCCATAACTCATCTTACAATAGCTAAAGCATTGCTTTAAATCATTCCTGTTCTATGTCATAATGTAACTTTTTTTTTTTTTTGGTGGGGGGACCTTTAACCAATTAACTAGCCAGTCCTTCCAATATCTCTTTCTTGTGTTATTATTATGTACAGTATTTAGTTGCCGTCTTTATGGTAAACAGTCCCATTATGGGTCATTTTGACCGATGGATCACCTGTGTGGTGGTTCTCAGGATTCTGTAACCTATTAAATTGGACGATGATAGTGGGGATAGATATAATTTTGTATCAGTAAATTTGAGCCACTTTAGGAAGAAATCAATACTGTATGCTATAATGTAGTACTATAAACACAGGCATTTCACAATAAGCCACAGTTGCCATTTGTTGAGAAAAATTTGACTTTGAACAAATGATAAACTGATCTGCCATGTAGAAGGAATCAAGATAAGTACCATACCAAATACAATAGGCACATCAACACAAACAGCCTGTGGTGACCACAAATCTTTAAAACAAATATGTTCGATAAAATATTTAGAGTTTGTATGACAAAAGTGGGATTCCCATGCCTTGTGTTACAGAAATTTACTCATGGAATTTATAAATTATGACCTCTTTATTTATGATATGGTATGAAAATTTGCCCTTATGGAAATGAAATGAGGCCACCGCAGTAGTAAGGCGACTTTCGTGAAACACCCATTGGCACATGGGAGGGCCTACCTGCCTTCTCTGGTAAATATATTTTGGTCATATGACTGGTGTATGCCTTACCTTCTTTACAAAGCCTTTTTGCAACACTCTTCTACATGTGAAGCCTCCGTGGATGTTTATAGTCCCGTGACGGCTTGGCCTCGAGTTCGCTCGCATCACCTTCACTCACAACAGGTGCTGTGTCATCCATATATGACACGCTTTGTGATAGAGGAAACCTTGTTGAAACTTACTGTGGTGGTAACTTGATTTTGGGCGTGGTGGCACTTGTGCCCTTACTACGGTGGTGGCCTCAAATTAATGTTGAAAATTTTCGTATGCAAGTGTAACGTGTAATTCTTTCTCTGTGTCTGCACACTTAGGTATACTGTATATTATTTAAGATTGTCCAGTGTATTATCCTTTTTCAAGATGATAGGAAAGAAACCATCAAGTGCAAGTGTTACTTGCACTTGATTATATTACTGTACATGGATGTAAGACTGTGTGTTGTGGAGGTTTGATGCAGGTGAAAAATTTGGCTAGATTCTCGTGAGTTAAATTGAAGTCCTTTGTGTATTTATCATCAATTTACATCTAAAAATAATGTTTAAAAGGTTTATTTAAGTTCAAAACCTCTTATCTTTTGGACTGAAAATTTTTCCGTGGGAACACATCCCCAATTTTATAATGGGTTTGAATGGGAAAATTGGCTTTGCATTATAGAAATTTTTTCAAACACATCCCTTCTGTAAGACAAGGATGCCTGTACAGTAGTGTGGGTATAATATTGTACTAAGCTTTGAATACACAAGGAGGCAGCATTGCTAGTTGGGTGGACTGGATATACCCCAGGATTGAACCAGCAATCCTAAGGACAGTGGGCAATTATTTTTTTTTTTTTACCCTGGAGAAGAAAGCTGAGTTTATCAATGGTTTAACCCAGGGGTTCTCAACCAGGGGGGAATTTCTCCCCTCAGGTTTTCAGGGGGAAACTGAAACTAATATGGAAAAAATAAAGGATTTTCAGTATTATATGCATATTATTTGGAATGCACTTTTTGAGGCAGACAATCTTGGAAAGGAGGGGGGAATGACATTCTGACATATGGTGAAAGGGGTGCATGGGGCAAACAAGGTTGAGAACCATTGGTTTAACCCCTTGTGTACAGCGTCACCTCTAAGCCGAATAAAATCATTTGGGGTTAGCCAAATAAAATACTAAAATTGACGTCCGTGCAGTGAAGTGGTAGGTAGTAGGCAGACTACCAAACAGGGAGGTACTTCCACCTGGGAAGATATTAGAAGCATAATGTGTTTCCTAATGGTAGATCCTGCTGCCATATGGCATCATGAAAATTGTGACCAAGTTCCAGGTTACTGATCTGACTTTCTTCCTCATTTACACACAATTGCAGGGTCTCAATTGTTTCTCTTACCATTGACAACACAACATACATATATTGTTTCTCACTCTTGATCTTTTTTTAATTTTTGTATTTCTTTAATATTATTATTATTGTCATCATTATTATTTTAATTTTTTTTTATTATAAATTTTACCTTTCTGAATTATTATCATTATTAAATCCCCCACATGTGGGTCAGTGACCTGTGCCCGGGTGGGCTAATACCCGTAAAAAAAAAAAAAAAATGGCATAAGCCACGTAAAAACTTTTCCTTGGTGTTTTATAGGGACATAGATTAGATGGCTTGTGTTAGTTAAAGAAATGTAGAACAATCAGTTATGAATTTTGAAGGCCTTCATTTCTTTTGGAAAAAAAAGTGTGATCTAGGAATGCATTATCTTTTTTTCTTTAGAAATTCACCTATGCATATGAACAAGGAAAATTTTTAGTCCATTTCCTAAATTAGTAGGAAAGTCTTGTTCTGACAACAGAAGAGGAACTTACCGGTAAGTGTATACATAAACTCATCAGCCAAACGGCAAATGTTAATGCAAAAAACTAGTTAAGAGTATATAGGGATGAAAACAACCTTGTGTGATTAAGAACCATTATTTTATTTCAGTATTATCATTGGTATATACAAATAAACTTAAATAAATTTCATATACCTCTGATCAAGGTAGATGTACACATGCATCACAAGTATGTACACTTTTAAAGTAAAAATAAGGAAACCTTACAGAAAAAATTAAATAAAAAGTAGTTTCCACATTGCTACGAGTGCCGCCTGTCTTCTGGTTATGCAACGATTCCTGCTCAAGACATGAGGGAAAAGAAGGCATTACGAGAGAAGGCGCTGGAGTGCCCGTGGACATAGTATTCTGGAATGATGGGATCGATGAAGCGGTCCTCTTTCACCGTCTTGTAGATGGGTTCATCGTAATACTTCCCTACTTCCCATCCCTCAACATTGGCCATCAGTTTCTCCTGAAGGAAAGGATTACACAAAAGATTTATTACAATGTTAAAAATACTCTGTATGTACAATCCTGAAGCTTATGGACACTGATAAATTATTACAACAAGTTTGACAGTGCGCAGCAAAAATACCACCACATATTGGTCTGGTGTAATTTTAATAAATTTATGTGACACAACAGTTGGTCTATATGACACCAAATTTTGGGAGTCTGCCTGTCGGTTTATTTCTAGATTAGTGCCATGTGAGACGTGTTTTAGCCAGTTAAATATAACCTACACTGATAATGCTACCTCAATGGAGATTGTTTTTAAAACTGTTGGAAGGAAATTGATAACCTACTGTAGTACCAGGAATGCTATTATTACTCTCTCAATATTGACTTCTATTCTTTAGTGATGTTCCTAAACTTCTCTCCCAGACTATTTAACATTCTCTAGATAAGGTAATTAGTTTTCTTCAGACTATTCTTTTGATAACACAGTACCTCCCTGTACTTGGTTTACTTGAAAATACTGAAATGCTGTATGTAATGGATACTGGACATAACTGCCACAGCTTCCAAATACTGTAAAAGATTCTTTGGGTTTTGAATTCAAGCAACACTAGCCATATACAACCAGGAGTTACTTACCTCTTCATTCCGGTTACGTCTTATCTGCTTGAGAAACTCTCGATCTCTCTCAGCCAGCAGTAGTGGCTCGATGGCCAACCTTCCACTCCTCATCTCCACATCCTGTAGCCTGTGTGTAACAAATTTGTTGATGTTCAAAGAGAACCGTTACCTCATTAGATATTCCCCTAGATGGGTTAGTATTATTTTTTTAATGTGGCTTACCTTCAAACAGTACAGACAAGAGCCCAACTCAGCCACACACTCACTTTTTCACTAATAAAGACCAAGAAACCTCGTTAAAGTAGTATTGTATCAAGAATCATCCACTCCTCACTTCCAATAATTCTGTCAGACAAGCTCCTACCTGATACTCTTGTAGGTGCGGTAGTATAAATAGCCAGCCAGAGTTGTGAAGACTGTAAAGCCTGCAAACAGTTGATATCCTGAAAATTACAGAGAACACAAGTTAGTTGGGTTCGGTTAACTTAATTTGAACTTTTAAATAAACACTTTTTAACACATTTGGCATAACTACAACAGTGTTAACTATAAAAAGGTGAAGTTTCGGCATTTATAAATTAGTTTTCTGTTAAAAATCAGCAGCTGTGAAGTTGTAAATAATTACCAAGTTTTGTTTGGTGATAGGTTAACCCAGACCCTTGTTTCCTACACTATTACCGTACCCTTTCTAATAAAATAAAGACAAGTATAAAAGGGAGCAAATAGAAAGTAATTATTTTGGTATTTTTGCATTAGTGTACACAACTTTCCTACCCCAAATCTATTATCTTATTCGAAAAAGAAGTCTAATTATAAGATAATTTTCTTCTATTTCATTACCGTCGCAAACGTATAATAGCAGAGAGAGCGCATCCCAAATCTTTCTCTATTTTCTCCTATTAATCTTCCGCCATTATTGCCTACCTCACCTCCCACACTGCATGTCTCCTTCATAAAGTGTCACGAGCATGCGTACACGTCACGTGGCCAATCAAAAGCTCTTTTTTTTTTTGGTGTTCTCCCAACCTCAGTAAAGTGTTCTAAGTGGAAGCTGCCTGCCTATACCCCCCTTTAAGCGAGAATCAGCGTCGGCAACCTGTACTAATCTCAGAATCTAACGACGAACCAGGCCAATAAGGTAAGAAATAAGTGATTCCATCATATGGTGAGTTAGTTAGGTTAGGATAGGTTACATTAGGTCAGGTTAATGTTTATCTCGTGTTTTTTTTTTTGTGTATTTTGTATTCACTTAGCCATAATTTTTGTCGGGAAAACCCCCGATAACTAAAAAAAAACTAGCAATTTCAGACGGAAATGAAGGTCAAAACACAAAAATACACTAGAAAAACATAGTTTTGACTTTCTAACAGAGTTGTGTGCACTAATGCAAATTTACCATTATTTTTTTACTTGATCCTACATACGTAAATTCCAAACAAAGTGTACCATGTACCAACCTCAATAGTAATACATTAGGTAAACTATTCCAGTCCTTTAGAACTCGACGAGAACGTTAATTGCTTGACCACAATAATCTACACCCGGTGCCCCTAGTGCCTCGCTGATTGATTGATTAATGGTTTAATTTTATTAGGAATTCATTTTTTATATTATATGGAAACACAATCACTCGAAAAGGAGATAAATTGACATACACGTGTAAAAACTAGCCAAAGAATGGATACTGAATAAAAGACGTCGACAAGACAGCACCATTATTGTATACCTACCAAAATAACCCACTTTAATCCAATATCTCCTAATTAACCCTAACTTCATTAATCATCTCACCAGAAAAATAGGATCTTGGAGGGATCCTCATGAAGGAAATGGGAGCATAACCGCCCTTAGGTGGTAAGTCCTGCGTCGGTGCTTCCGCCATCTTTGTCTCCGGCTCAGCTGGCAGCCTCTGACACCATAATAAGTACACATTTTTTTCCGTAATCTCCGAAACTGATAAATCCATATTTTTATACGTGTTTTATATTTAATAAATAATTAATTAATACATAAATAAACTATCTTGATATAACCGAATTATTCATATATTTGAATATTTATTTATAAATCGGGAAGAAGGAGGTACTTTAGACCTGACCGTGCCGGACGACCCGATGACCAGTGTGTCAACAAGAGTCTCCTCTCGTATATGTTGTGTTATAACTCACAAGAACAACGTGTTGGGAGACGTCCACCTTAACAGCAGAGAATGGAGCACCCAGGACCACAATAAACACTGCTGTTCCTTCTGAATAATAGAACACTGGCTGGTCATGAGTTATGGTCGACGAGATGTGTGAAGAAGAAACATATTTTCATCTTGCGACGTGTAAGTGATTCACCATTTAAATAAATAATTATAAATACCTGAAATTTGATGCTTCAAGCTGTCATTGTTATAAATCTATAGAATAATGTGGTAGAGGTGGAGGATACTTGGTATATGTTTTTGTTATTGTTTAATGTTATTTACCTGCACAGTCTAGGACTCGAGGTATATTGGAAATTGTAGTATTATTTTACTTTCGGACATAGCGCCCCCGAAAGTTATAAACTGCTGAAACATTTAGATCTCGTTATTCTGAGCATTTTGAATCCCATATATACCTGGCGGAAATGGATAATAGCGACACAATTGAATTTAATTGATTTTCAGTAGTTTTCAGTCTTCGTCTATGAGATGATGTCGGCACATCACATGAGCAATGTTGACTGACGTCATCCAGTCGTGACCATATCAACTACCAAAGACCATAGAATAAAGTTAGGAAACTTCGACTGAAACGAACTGAAACCATTGTGCACCTAAAGGATGCCTAATGCTTCCATAATAGTGCCATTTATTGAGGGAGCAGAAAATTAAGTTTAAGGAAAGGATACTGAATAATTTAATGTTGCAGTATATTATTTACTGTCTCCATCAACCATGGCATTTATAAGTAGCTCCATATTCTTTGCCAAAAAAATTTTCTTCATCATTTCAGAATACAATTCCAATTTATGTACAGTATATATGAATATACTTTTAGTCATTTGATATACATAACCATTTCTAGCTGAATCCATAAACCAGGTCAACATACAAAGTCGACATAAACAGCTTCATATGGCCATTTAGGTTTATGTTATAGTAAACTAAATATTTTGGTTAAGAATGGCTTTAGGGCCACTTGGGAACCTATGGAAGACAAGATGAGGATCTGTCTTTCTTTTCTTACAAATAACACACGTATGCGATTTGGTGGTCACTGCTGCCATGACGTAAACAAATAGACAACTAGTGGTATCTATACGTTGACAGGTTTTGCGTGTGTTCGTTTGTGCGTTAGTTTATCTAGGGTCCCAGTCAGTATTACATCAGCCATAATTTGAGTTTCTTATCTTTGTCAGCAACAGCTAGAGGTGGGGGTAGGATTGTGGGAGGGAGTCGTCCTTGTATGGCATACTTAGTGTATGCTTCTCCTGCACCTCATTAAGTCTTCGTGGCATGGATACCACCAGCGTAGATGTCAGGATCCTTCCATCGTCCGTCCATAAATCCTCCCATACCTTTGTTATTCTCTCCACCAAGGCTGCTCGGTTGCTGATGACGGAACTACAGTCATCCAAACGTTGCACTATCACCCCAGATATTCTCAGTGGGATTGAGATCTGAGGATTTAGGAGGATGTGGCAATACTCTTATTTCTGGATGCTTTACAAACCAGTTTTTCATGATGTTAGAAGTGTGTATAAGGCTGTTGTTCTGGAGCAGATAGAGCGGTGTAGGTTCAGGGAAAAGCAACTGCTGTACTGAGGGAAGCAGGATCTCCTCCAGAATCTCCACTACTTGCTCCCCGTGAACCTTCCTTCTCCAACATCTGAAAGCTGACCAATTCAGCCAATTCTGGTCCCCGCTACATGCTGTGCATCGTATCTAGTAAAGAAATATTAATGTATTCACTACTGAACTCTAGTTACTATTATGTGTACAAATATATTAATACAAACATGTGTATTTATAATATATGTATCTATAAATAGCAAATTTGTCTGTGTGCATGTCTGGGTTCTCAATAACAAATTACCTGGTACTTTGCTTTCTCACTCTCTTCAGGTTTTCCTCGGGATTTCCTGAGTCTCTTCGGGGCATTCCTGGACCTTTCTTGGTGGCTTTCTCGGGTGGGCTTTCATCAGGGCTATCATGGGGCTCTCCTCGGGGCTTTCATCAGGAGCTATCATGGGGCTCTCCTCGGGCTTTCTTCGGGGCATTCCTGGGGGTTTCTTTGGGACTTTCCTCGGGGATTTCACTCGAGCTTTCCTATGAGTCACTTGGGATAATTCTGAGTACCTATGAGTAACCTGGAATCATTATGAGTACAATTAAAATCCTCGAAGACAACACCAAGTTTAAAAGAGCCCAGGTTGTGAGTAAAGGAACTGGCCTGATGACCCCAGTTATGTTATTACTTCTGGAATTTGTTGTTTCATCAAGGTAATACAGCAATACTTTATTAAAATACAGGTGTTAGAGGTGTTTTTGAGTAGTTGAAGAATAGGTGGAAATAGAAGCGAAAGGTATAGAATCAGATTATTCATAATGTTAAAATTATACTACAGAACATTATTTCTGTATCATCTATTTTTCTTCGTAAGACACAAGTAAAATTAACCTACTTTTGAAGTAAAACTATTTAGTGATCGTAAAGGTTTTAAGTACATTAAATATGGTTTTGTTGGTTAATATCATCTATGTTCAAGCAAGAAAAAAAAACTATTGCTTGTGGTTTTGTTCGTGTGGTAATTCTTCAGCATTTTTTGTTTGTCGGACGTCTTCCCAAGTCAGCCAGCAGCTAACACAATGGCGGCGTGTGGACGGAGGTGAAGTTATTAACATTTCCTTTGATATTCTTTCTTCTTTAATATCAATATATGTAAATAAACAACAAAATATACCATTTATGACAAACAGTATTTATTTTAGTGTAATTTAATCACTTTTAGGTAATTTCATATATAAATTTCAGTCTTTACTCGGCGCTTGTAAACATGGCGAATGTCTTGAGGAAATTTGGTTTTGTATTTAGCAGCAATATTATATTGTCAGGATTTAACTGTGTATTAATATGGGTGGAGTTATGGCCAGGATTATGGTGGTGTAAAAGATAGAGAGCCTTATATGGGGGTTAACAGTAGGCAGGGAGCTGTTTGACTGCTAACCGGTCATATAATACGTATTAACTGTTTTACTGTAGGTGCCTGTTTTGATATGTATTGCATCTGCATTATTATACCTATATGAATAATTATTGTATGTTTGTGTGTGATCTAATGTGTACGTTTGGACTTACCTATTGATATTACCTAATATAATTTAAATAACTAATAAATTATAAGTATACGTTGAAAAATATCTGGTAATTTATGAGAACACAGCTGCCACAGATGTTATTATGATAGTATTTTTAGGAGACAAAACTTTTTATTTTAATTATAAGTTATTTTGGTTAATATTAGATTTTATCTAATAAAATTATTTCTGACATTATGGATAATTAAGTACACCATATTTTTGTATTTATTTATTTTTTTTTATTATCTATAATCATAGCACCTGTTGTGGGCAAGTGTAAGGACGAGAGTAAATTGTGGGGGTAAAACCGCAATTTATAAAACTGATCATATGACACTATAATATCTCGATTGGCACTGTACTTGAAGGAATTAATTATTTGCTGTGATTTCTTATTCGAACAAATCTGAGTCTGTGTGTGCCTCTGTTTACAGCCGACCGCTCAGTTGAAGTATATGCTCATCCTCATATGCCACGTCACCATGATGTTTCAACAATGATATTTTCAGTGGTAGCAGATATAAAATAAGAACTGTACCTTGTTTTAATATGGCGGTGAGACCCAGCCAGGCAGTCAGATAGATTTAGGTAGGTATCTTTGGTCGGTTAGTGCGTTCTGTAGGTTCTATATTAAATGTAAGCGTTTTAAAATGGGACAATTGGCCCAAGATTTTGTGGAGTCTTGAGGAATTTAGGTTGGAGTAAGATATATAGTTCCTGGGTTATTTGGTTGGGTTAGGTGAATCAAAAAACGACGAAACACTTGAAAACTCTCCAAACATAGGGATGACGACTGAAGTTTTACCTAGTACTATGATAGAGCATCTGTGGAAAAACTGAACAACTCCTTCTGGTGGCAGCGATTACTATACATGACCAAATGTCACCGAAGGGTTCTGAAATAACACTGCCGTATTCTGGTCTCGGAGAAAATTCTACATAATATTTTATTGTCAATTTTAAACTTATTATAAAACAGAGATGCGATCAAATAGAAATAATACTTTAGCGGCGATACTACATTACCAAAATTAAGGATACCAAGGAAGGTGATGGGATAAATTATAAATCAATTTTGTTAAGAAAACCAACACCTCAAAATTATAACAGTTATGGTGCTGTATAGGCCTAAAAATGTGATCTGACCTTACCTAGCTGCCGACCTACATTATTACCTTAATAATCTCCTGAGAGAGGGAAATTTCGATTATCGAAGATAATTAAGAAAAATAGACAAATACTCAGCGTTTAAATAATAGTGTAATGACTAGTCCAGCAAGTTTGGCGCATATCCTTTTCACAGTTCTAACTACATGTTTTCTGTATTGTGTGTTGTTTATCCGCATCGTTTTAGTTTTAAGCTGTTTTCCCCGTACAGGTATGTCTGGAAAACGTTCATCCCTGTCTCTGGGGTGCCTTAAGCTAGAAAGGCCACCCGAAAACAATCGCAATGGGCGTAGAGGTGGTATGATCACCAACCTTCAGAGTGGAAGTGTCAGAGAAGTTGGCCGATGCTTGGTGATTTAAGTGAGAGCACTGTTTTTACCTGTGTGGTATATGATGGTTCTCCTAACTTGTACCATTTACTATTCTTATGGGAAATTTTTTAG